CATTAACTCAACATATTTAACCAATCAACACATATGTTATGCCGTTGCAACCAAGAGGGTCGTTGTGTCACAAACGATTGGTTGAGTGGGTTATACGCCGATGTTAGCAATGTCCCAGCAATATCACGGTGGGGGACACAAGAAATGGGCTTCACACATTGTGCCCATGTGGGGAATCGAACCCGGATCTTCAGCGTGACGAGCGGTCGCCTTACCACTAGGCTACCCCACCGCCTCCTGTCATATACGATGAACATTATGTTCCCATGACGCGTGTGTCTTCAAGCATCAGTTTTAGTCATTGTAATGACTGATCGTGGATACAGAAACTTTCTTAAAACTCTAGTTGTTGGACACTACTGGAACCTAAAATACCAATGATCACGTTAAGTGGTATTGAACATATATAAAGGCGCGCAGTTAGTGTTATTCGATGATGGGTGAGAGGATAAGTTTAGTTTCAGCTTTATCAATATTCCAACAAATTCACCTCGGGGGACAGCAAAAATTGTTGGCACATATTGTTCCCTTATGGGGAAACGAACATGATGTAACAGTGAGTGAGTTTAGTTTTACGCCGCACTCAGCAATATTCCAGCTATATGGCGGCGGTCTGTAAATAATCGAGTCTGGACAAGACAATCCAGTGATCAACAGCATGAGCATCGATCTGCGCAACTGGGAACCGATGACATGTGTCAACCAAATCAGCGAGCCTGACCACCCGATCCCGTTAGTTGCCTCTTACGACAAGCATGGGTTACTGAAGATCAATTCTAACCCCGATCTTCGCTGGTAACATGACGTAACAAGCAATCACTTTAACCACTAGACTACCCAACTACTTATCTGTGAAAACCAAGAACTTGAATAATGTAATCAATATGGACCCAATCAACACAAATGGGCTTCACATATTGTACCCATATGGGGAATCGAACTTGGGTCTTCGGCGTGACGAGCGAACGCTTTAACCAGTAGGCTACCCCACCGCCCCATCATTCGATTAAACTATGGAGCCCCAGAAGGGTCAAAACCAAATCACAAACTTAACCAGAGCGAAACATTTCGATCTATGTCCAATTATGGCTTTGAGTCATATATGTTTCACGAAGGGGTAGCCTAGTGGTTAAAGCGTTCGCACGTCACGCCGAAGACCCGGGTTCGATTCCCCACATGGGTATGATGAAGCCTATTTCTGGAATGTTGCTAAAGGTGGCGTAAAACCACCCTCACTCACTCACAAGGAATAATAACGCGACATAGTCACAACCCAAAAGTGTCTATTCCAGGACTCCATACACGCACACTTGTAAGGCGATCTAAAACACTTCAAAAACAGTGAGCATATTATATACCAGACCACACCCCGTCACGCAATGACAATAATGCCGGTATATGCGATACACGGGTATAGGAACAGGTGTCACGTTTTAGAGGTCTTGTTATATTGCACATGCTATTTGGTGCTTTTGTAATCTTATACCCGATAGGAGCAGAATGCTGTCCGTTGCCATACATCGCTAACATTCAGATTCTATTGTATTACATTATGGCTTTTATTTGACATGTTGGAATTCAGAAGCATGTTTGCATTAAACAAACTGCCTCCACGCCTAAGGTTTTATTCTCAGCGTAAATGAGAAGATTTGAATGACTGATATAGTTGTTTATACACTTGGAGAACTCCCGACGTCATAGGTTCCCGGTGCCCAATGTTTGTCTCAATGTGGCGGTAGCGGTAGGTTAGGTCTCTGTTTCCCCACGCTGGTCCTCCAGTAGGGATTTCGGGGTAGAATAGGCTTTCCCGGGTTTGCCTCACCATATTGATTCCTGGACAGAGGAGTTACCCAATGGTTACCTCACCATCTTGATTCCTGCACAGAGGAGTTACCTAATGGTTACCTCACCATCTTGATTCCTGAACAGAGTAGTTACCCAATGGTTACCTCACCATATTGATTCCTGAACACAGGAGTTACCCAATGGTTACCTCACCATATTGATTCCTGAACAGAGGAGTTACCCAATGGTTACCTCACCATATTGATTCCTGAACAGAGTAGTTACCCAATGGTTACCTCACCATCTTGATTCCTGGACAGAGGAGTTACCCAATGGTTACCTCACCGTCTTGATTCCTGAACAGAGGAGTTACCCAATGGTTATCTCACCGTCTTGATTCCTGAACAGAGGAGTTACCCAATGGTTACCTCACCATATTGATTCCTGAACACAGGAGTTACCCAATGGTTACTTCCTCACCATCTTGATTCCTGAACAGAGTAGTTATCCAATGGTTACCTCACCATATTGATTCCTTGAACAGAGTAGTTACCCAATGGTTACCTCACCATATTGATTCCTGAACAGAGTAGTTACCCAATGGTTACCTCACCATATTGATTCCTGAACAGAGGAGTTACCCAATGGTTACCTCACCATATTGATTCCTGGACAGAGTAGTTACCCAATGGTTACCTCCCACCATATTGATTCCTGAACAGAGTAGTTACCCAATGGTTACCTCACCATATTGATTCCTGAACAGAGTAGTTACCCAATGGTTACCTCACCATATTGATTCCTGAACAGAGGAGTTACCCAATGGTTACCTCACCATATTGATTCCTGAACAGAGGAGTTACCCAATGGTTACCTCACCATATTGATTCCTGGACAGAGTAGTTACCCAATGGTTACCTCACCATATTGATTCCTGAACAGAGTAGTTACCCAATGGTTACCTCACCATATTGATTCCTGGACAGAGTAGTTACCCAATGGTTACCTACCCACCATATTGATTCCTGAACAGAGTAGTTACCCAATGGTTACCTCACCATATTGATTCCTGGACAGAGTAGTTACCCAATGGTTACCTCACCATATTGATTCCTGAACAGAGGAGTTACCCAATGGGTACCTTACCATCTTGATTCCTGAACAGAGGAGTTACCCAATGGGTACCTTACCATCTTGATTCCTGAACAGAGTAGTTACCCAATGGTTACCTCACCATATTGATTCCTGAACAGAGTAGTTACCCAATGGTTACCTCACCATATTGATTCCTGGACAGAGTAGTTACCCAACGGTTACCTCACCATATTGATTCCTGGACAGAGTAGTTACCCAATGCTTACCTCACCATATTGATTCCTGAACAGAGGAGTTACCCAATGGTTACCTCACCATATTGATTCCTGAACAGAGTAGTTACCCAATGGTTATCTCACCATATTGATTCCTGAACAGAGTAGTTACCCAATGGTTATCTCACCATATTGATTCCTGAACAGAGGAGTTACCCAATGGTTACCTCACCATCTTGATTCCTGAACAGAGTAGTTACCCAATGGGGACCTCACCATATTGATTCCTGAACAGAGTAGTTACCCAATGGTTACCTCACCATCTTGATTCCTGAACAGAGGAGTTACCCAATGGTTACCTCACCATATTGATTCCTGAACAGAGTAGTTACCCAATGGTTATCTCACCATCTTGATTCCTGGACAGATTCCTGAACAGAGTTACCCAATGGTTACCTCACCATATTGATTCCTGAACAGAGTAGTTACCAAATGGTTATCTCACCATCTTGATTCCTGGACAGAGGAGTTACCCAATGGTTACCTCACCATCTTGATTCCTGAACAGAGTAGTTACCCAATGGTTACCTCACCATATTGATTCCTGAACAGAGTAGTTACCAAATGGTTACCTCACCATATTGATTCCTGAACAGAGTAGTTACCCAATGGTTATCTCACCATATTGATTCCTGGACAGAGTAGTTACCCAATGGTTACCTCACCATATTGATTCCTGAACAGAGTAGTTACCCAATGGTTATCTCACCATCTTGATTCCTGAACACAGGAGTTACCCAATGGTTACCTCACCATCTTGATTCCTGAACAGAGTAGTTACCTAATGGTTACCTCACCATATTGATTCCTGAACAGAGTAGTTACCCAATGGTTACCTCACCATATTGATTCCTGAACAGAGTAGTTACCCAATGGTTACCTCACCATATTGATTCCTGAACAGAGTAGTTACCAAATGGTTATCTCACCATCTTGATTCCTGGACAGAGGAGTTACCCAATGGTTACCTCACCATATTGATTCCTGAACAGAGTAGTTACCCAATGGTTACCTCACCATATTGATTCCTGAACAGAGTAGTTACCCAATGGTTACCTCACCATCTTGATTCCTGAACAGAGTAGTTACCCAATGGTTACCTCACCATCTTGATTCCTGAACAGAGGAGTTACCCAATGGTTACCTCACCATATTGATTCCTGAACAGAGTAGTTACCCAATGGTTACCTCACCATATTGATTCCTGAACAGAGTAGTTACCCAATGGTTACCTCACCATCTTGATTCCTGAACAGAGGAGTTACCCAATGGTTACCTCACCATATTGATTCCTGAACAGAGTAGTTACCCAATGGTTACCTCACCATATTGATTCCTGAACAGAGTAGTTACCCAATGGTTACCTCATCATCTTGATTCCTGAACAGAGGAGTTACCCAATGGTTATCTCACCATCTTGATTCCTGAACAGAGTAGTTACCCAATGGTTACCTCACCATCTTGATTCCTGAACAGAGGAGTTACCCAATGGTTACCTCACCATATTGATTCCTGAACAGAGTAGTTACCCAATGGTTACCTCACCATCTTGATTCCTGAACAGAGTAGTTACCCAATGGTTACCTCACCATCTTGATTCCTGAACAGAGTAGTTACCCAACACCATCTTGATTTCTGGACAGAGGAGTTACCCAATGGTTACCTCACCATATTGATTCCTGAACACAGGAGTTACCCAATGGTTACCTCACCATCTTGATTCCTGAACAGAGTAGTTACCCAATGGGTACCTCACCATCTTGATTCCTGAACAGAGTAGAAACTCCAATAATTTTAGCCAAGCATGTACAAGACTGAGGTACTCTGCATCATATTTTATTCTAGGATGCCATGTTAAAGGGCCACTAATCCAGAGCGATTAATGTTTCCAGCCAACAGTCTAATTACGAAACCTAGCTGCAAACTGGTCAGCCCCTGCTCCCTCGACCGTGTGACGGACACGGGGACTGGGCTACTGTCCACCTTGGCAGAATTTCTTCAACCTAATCAGTGGGACATTAGGAAGGGTGGATGCCCATCAGATGCCGTTCATTGAAAATATCCCCGGTAGTTCTTGTGTGATTGTAATAAAGTATCCAGTAGTGTAGGCTTTTTGAGATTTTTCAAATGTTTCGAGTGTATAGTGACTGATCCAATTTGATCCTATTTCTGTGTTTTTTACCTCGATATTTAACGGTCACGCACTTAGGAATATGATTTGAAAACAATATGATACGATACGAAACGACATAATAATTCGTGTAGTTCATTACAGATCTGTTTCGTGTTAATCTATCAGAGAGTAGAGCTTGCAATTGTGGTGCTCCGGTGGAAGATGCTAACCATTTCTTCTTAAAATGTCCAAAATTTGTCAGTTGCCGTTTTGATCTGAAGAAAGACTTTGAACTATCAAAAGTTCAGTTAGACATTAATACCATTCTTTACGGCAACCCTGCTCTGCCAAATACTATCAATGAAAATATCTTTAGACATGTGCATAAATACATTGTACGAAGTAAGCGCTTCAATTAATCAATAATATGTCTCAATATTTTTATGTCCATCCATTACGTCCAACCATTATTGTTCATGTTTCTGATGGGAGCGGGCGGTAATAAGTTACATAACTTGTGCCCAATCCATTTCAACACTGAATAAAATATGTTCAAACAAACAAACATAATAATATATTCATGATCCCTGTAACCCGTGTCAATCTGTCAAGACATAGGTATGTGTTGAGCAGCCCCTGGCCTCTCCGTTTCTCCAAGCATCTTTGATAAGCCTTTCATCACAGCATAATACACTCATTCATTACTACCCAGTGCGTTAAGGTAAATCTCAGTACGTCCGTGACTTCTTGTTGACACGACACACTTTGACTTAATACACACTGTCTCGCTCCTACACGACATACGTGTCCACGGTTCGGGGCGATTGTTCATCTTGGTGAGAACGTCTATGGCTGTTGAATAACACAAATTTTATTCTTTATGGCTTTGGTCCAGTTCAAAGACTCGGTTTATAAGACGTGGTTGGGAAGACCAATACGGGAGGTTCAGAATTACGTACAGAATGTGTTATTTATTGTCTGTACTAAGATAGGTTAATTCTTCTGTACTGGGAATGTTTATCTAACGACATCGGCCATCGGATGGAGTTGTTGAGATGGACTTGACTTGCAGGCAATAAGGAGCCCTCCTAAGGAACCTCAGTATTGCTCTGCTCTGTCTTCAATGCTTATCAATCAAACTTTGTACTCGGATTGGCAAAATCACCCAAGTAACTGTGCATAACACAAAATTGCATAAAATAGAAGTTATTTGAAACGTCTTGCTTGGTGCAGACAGCATCTACGGTACAGGCGACAAGATTTGGATAGGTTTTGTTCACTGACGAGTCGAGATTTCATCTGGATAGCTCAGATGGCAGGGCAAGGGTGTACAGACGGCGAGGTGAACGGTATGCTGACGCGTGCGTTTTTCAACGTCTGCAGTTTGGTTGAGGAGGCGTTATGGTATAGGGAAACATCACATCTCATGGTTGGACACAACTTGTCATTGTCAATAGCAATCTGACAGGTCTGCGATACTGGGATGCGATCATTGGGTTTGATGTGCAGCTGTTCATTCAGGGCGGAGACGTAACTTCATGCTTCAGCAAGATAATGCCCGTCCACATGTTGCTCGTGTTGTGACAGATTTCCTGGGACAGCAGAACATTCCGGTACTCCCCTGGCCCTTATCGAGCACGCTTGGGATGAAGCGACGTTTACGTCAAGCCCAGAATCAGCCATTGACGTTAGCTGAATTGGGACAAGCGTTGGTTCATACATGGGACAACATTCCTCAAGCTTTTTTTCAAACGTTTAGTGTCGTCTATGGACACACACGATACTGAATTTGTGAACTGACTTTTGACACCACATCTCTTCAAGGGCGTGTCATGATGCCTAGTGTCTAATCATACAGATTTCGATATTATCCTGTAAACAGTTAAACAATGATTAAGGAAAACACCACAAATCACATTATCTTTTTGTATTAAAAATGGCATAACATCAAATAATGCAGTTACTTTATTACAGTAGCATGGTGACCAGACATCATTCAATGATAGAAATATAGCCAATTCCCTTCCCAAGTCCAAAATCAATAGGCTTGTTTATGTCTGGTCCAATATCAGTTATGGGTTTCTAAATCGAAATGAACAACAGTTGCTAATGTTAAAAGTTAACCTTACAAACACGAAACACTGCCCAGCATGCCAATGGGTAATGCAATCTGCTTCTGTGAACTTTTCCCTTGACCTTGGTGAATCTTGATATTTCACGGAGGGAATACGTGCCACAGAATGTCGTGGCTGCTTTGTTATCCGGTAATCCAGGAATGAATACTTCCCCGTAAACATTGATTAAATCTCTAGTGATCAAGGTCGTTACATAATCAGCCAGAGAGAGAATGTTACCCTCGTGGGTACTCCGGGTTACATTTGGTGTCGGCTGTCTTCCTTTGTTGTTAGCGTTTACTCAGTGGATCAGACGGGTCACTTGGCAGATTGCTTGTCACCGTAGCAACACGACATGGGAGGTTGTTCATTATATCAGTCACCAGTTTGTCTGGTCCAGACTCGGTAATGTACAGCCGCCAGTATATAGTTGGAATATTGCGCAGTACTTCCTTGAGAGTGAGTAAAAGTGAGTAAGAATGCCGCTTTTAGCAATATTCCAGCAACATCACGGTGGGGGATACCAGAAATGGGCTTCACACATTGTACCCATGTGGGGAATCGAACCCAGGCCTTCGGCGTGACATGCTTTCAGAAGGAAGCGCACCAAGCACATCACTCTACATCGTATGTTTCGCAGTTACGGAAATATTTTTTCTATTAGGTTTCCATTACTGAGTTGAATTACATTACCGCATTAAATGATCTGTTATAGAACCCCATACAGAGCACGACCATACACCTTGACGTCATCTCAAATAACGGCACGGGAGAGGAACTTAATGAGTGCACACTGACGTACATGAAACATTTTTGGGGGTGATTATTTTTAAAAACACAACGTAAATATTTTGAAAAGTGTTTTGCTTGCGATTCGCAAACCAGAGGCATTACATACATACATACATACATACATACATACATACATACATACATACATACATACATACATACATACATACATACATACATACATACATACATACATACATACATACATACATACATACATACATACATACATACATACATACATACATACATACATACATACATACATACATACATACATACATACATACATACATACATACATACATACACAACATACATACATACATGAAACTGGTGTACCTTGTCATCTGGTACGTCACCCAAACTATTTGTAATGCTTCTCACAGATCGTGGTGGTTTTGGCCGTAATAGGTTGGTGGGTTACGTCCGTATCTGTAGAAGTATTTGGTTGGTTACGTCCGTATCTGTAGCAGTGCTCGGTTGGTTACGCCCGTATCTGTAACAGTACTCGGTTGGTTACGTCCGTATCTATAGCAATACCCGGTTGGTTACGCCCATATCTGTAGCAGTGCTCGGTTGGTTACGCCCGTATCTGTAACAGTACTCGGTTAGTTATGTCCGTATCAGCAGCAGTACTCGGTTGGTTACGCCCGTATCTGTAGCGGTACCCGGTTGGTTACGCCCGTATCTGTAGCAGTGCTCGGTTGGTTACGTCCGTATCTGTAGCAGTGCTCGGTTGGTTACGCCCGTATCTGTAACAGTACTCGGTTGGTTATGTCCGTATCAGCAGCAGTACTCGGTTGGTTACGCCCGTATCTGTAGCGGTACCCGGTTGGTTACGTCCGTATCTGTAGCAGTGCTCGGTTGTCTACGCCCGTATCTGTAACAGTACTCGGTTGGTTATGTCCGTATCAGCAGCAGTACTCGGTTGGTTACGCCCGTATCTGTAGCGGTACCCGGTTGGTTACGTCCGTATCCGTAGCAGTAATCGGTTAGTGACTTCCGTATCTGTAGGAGTACCCCGTTGGTTACGTCCGTATCTGTACCCGTGACAGACGAGATGTCCTTTTCAGTGATAGTTGTGGTGGTCACCTTCGTATCTCAAGCCGTGCGTGTCGTTGACCCATCCGTAATAGCAGAGGTGGTCACTGTCATTATCGGCGATCATACGTCCGCAGCCATGACTGTTGTTGTGGTCCCATCTCTACCTGAAGAGTTACTGTCTTAGGGGTACGGTCAATATCTGTATCCATGATCTACAGAAGGTATCTGCACGTACACTACAATCGGTTTGTTGTTCATGATGCTGATACCGACTGTCTCTGCAGGTATTCCCCAATCGGTGTGCTGTTCCTGGTGGCCCACAAGGTTGTAGAGATGGAGAACCCAGAACAGACCTTCCAACAGCTGCTGTACTACTTCCTCACGGTCATGGCCGGACTCCTCGCGCATGGCTTTGTCTCACTTCCGCTCATCTACTTCCTGTTTGTCCGGAAGAACCCACTGAAGTATATAGCAGGTGTAGCTCAGGCGATATTCACAGCACTCGGCACGGCCTCCAGGTGAGTGAGTGAGTGAGTTTAGGTTTATGTCGCTGTTAGCAATATTTCAGATATATCACGGCGGGGACACCAGAAATGGGCATCACACAGTGTACCCCAGTGGAGAATCGAACTCGGGTTGATTTTGGAATTTATAGCTGCAAGTATATATAATAACTATTTATCATCACCCAGAGGTAGAACCGACAACCATCCCCGGCCTAAACTCTTTTATCCCCATAAGACCCATATAATACACAAAATGTGTTTCTAAACAATTAGTAATTGATAACACGGTATTCATCACACGAATCTGAATATAATCTTAACAATAACCTTCATTGCCACAGCTCTGCAACTCTGCCAATCACGATGCGATGCCTGGAGGAGAATAATGGAGTAGATCCCCGTGTGACTAAGTTTGTAGCCCCTGTAGGTGCCACTATCAACATGGACGGCACCGCACTGTACGAGGCTGTAGCAGTCATCTTCATTGGTCAGATGCAGGGATACGACCTCAGCATTGGTCAGATCGTCATCATCAGGTAATCATCGTCATCATGTACTGTAAACTTATCAACATGTGTTAGATGATATTGAATAAGAACTTGATTTTATAGATTGCGGAAATGCCGCCATAACGCTTCACTATAACACGTGTGCTTTGCCAGTTATCCATGGGACAGTGGAAACAGGGAAAGGAGGTATCTGTACATGTTAACATGAACACAATTAAAAACTTTACATATGTTTCTCTATTTGCTCATAAATTCCAAGACTCTTGGAATATACATTGATTTGTATGCTACAGGTGTTATCATCCTAATAACTATCACCAATTGGGAAAAAATTGAACAAACGAAACTGGAAAATAAAACTACTTTAAAAAAAGAAACATTTTTGAAGAAATATTCTAAAAGATGACACTTGACACGTTGCAACCTATGCATAATTATACATGGTATCGCAAACGAGTTACCTCGAAACTTGATGACGCCACCGAAAAAAACATGTTACTTCAGTCTCTAAGGGGGATATGGAGATTATCACTATCGAGAACAAGTTTCTGCAGAACTTATGAAGATTATCACTATCGAAAACAAGCTTTTACAGAACCTATAAAGATTATCACTATCGAGAAGAACTTTCTGCAGAACTTATGAAAATGATCACTATCGAAAACAAGCTTCTGCAGAACCTATAAAGATTATCACTTTCGAGAAGAAACCACTTTCTGCAGAACTTATGAAGATGATCACTATCGAGAAGAACTTTCTGCAGAACTTATGAAGATGATCACTATCGAAAACAAGCTTCTGCAGAACTTATGAAGATGATCACTATCGAGAAGAACTTTCTGCAGAACTTATGAAGATGATCACTATCGAGAAGAACTTTCTGCAGAACTTCTGAAGATGATCACTATCGAGAAGAACTTTCTGCAGAACTTATGAAGATGATCACTACCGAGAACAACTTTCTGCAGAACTTATGAAGATGGTCAAGATCGAGAACAACTTTCTGGAGAATATTTTAAAGATATCACCACTGAGAACATGTTGCCTCAGACTTTAAGGAGATATCACAATTCAGAACAATCTACTGCATAGCTTATGACATCTACATCGAAAACAAGTTATTTCAGAACTTACGGAAACCACGGAGACCAAGTTACGACATGGATTATAGAATACAGATACTTACTAATACACAGTCTTGGGGGCTGATGTAACATGTATGTCGGTCTGAGGAAGTTATAGGGAAGTGTATTGACCTCAGCTGATGTAACGTTATACTAGTATTACCACATCTTTGTTGCAGCATTACGGCAACAACGGCGGCCATTGGTGCGGCAGGTGTTCCCCAAGCTGGCCTGGTTACCATGGTGATAGTGCTGACAGCAGTGGGATTCCCCACAGAAGACGTCACGCTTATCCTGGCTATTGATTGGCTACTGTAAGTACTGTTTTCATCTTAAATAATTTAAAACTACTGATTGACCACTGTAAACCTACGCGATAACACGCCAGCACTTGCCATGTTAATCTGAACCTGATTCCAACTTCTTTAATTGTATCTCCGTCTCATCTTTTAACACGTTAGCTCAAATACTTCCCCAATATATATATATACTAGGCACATAAAGAAACTGTGCATACAAAAATTTAAAATCTAAATTTATCAAACCTGTGTAGACACATAAGGATTTAAACTCAGAGATTAGTGACATGTATCCAACATGCATGCACGTGCCACGTTCCGTGGCGTCAGTGGGTTCGTCCTTGAGACGTGCAATACGTTGTTGCGCGTGCATTCCGGGAAAGAGAAACAGAGCAAATGAATGCCACACAATACTGTCACTTTGGAAAGCTCAACCCCTGCCCTTGCGATCGTTCAAAAAAGTAAACGGCTATTGAAACGCATAGCATGCCAAGGCTCACGTCTGCACAACGTCATGAGGCCATTGGGATGGTCCGTGGGGGAATGTCTCAACGACAAGTGGCTGCACATTTCCACTGCCACCGGAACACCATTTCTGCACTGTTGAGACGCTACCAGAACACAAATGACGTCATCGATCGGCCACGTTCTGGACGTCCACGTGTAACAACGCCAAGACAGGACAGATGGATAAGGGTGACCCATGTTCGCCACAGGTTTCAGACTGCAGTGATGACTGCCCGAACCATCCCAGGACTTCGCCGTATCCATCCCAACACAGTTCGACAACGTTTACGTCATCACAGGATCAGACCACGACGTCCCGCCATACGGCCTATCCTGACACAACGTCATCGACAAGCTCGCCGAATGTGGTGCCGAAATGTCCTCAGACCCTTGTTTTGGTGGAGAAATGTTGTTTTGACAGATGAGTCCAGGTTTAACATTTCCCATAGTGATGGACGTCAACGTGCCTATAGACGCGTGGGAGAACGTTATGCACATGCCTGTGTCTTGGAGAGGAATCGCTTTGGTGGTGGTTCCGTGATGATTTGGGGTGGAATAACAGCACGCCAAAGAACTCCTTTGGTGATTGTTCAGGGCAACTTATAGTGTGGTAGGATGGGTACAGTTTTCAAGTCCCGTGGAAGTTTTGTGATGAAAGCAAGACATTGTGTTATTTGTATTCATCAGACATCGTAGTTAAATAAAAAGTTTGGTTCCAAATAGTAATTTTGAGCACTGTACAAAATGGTTATGGAAAAGGTTGCTAAAAGGTCAGAAGGTCATAGTGGGCGAGTTGAATATTTAAAGTTTAAGGTTATTAACTTTATCCAAGTGTGTTCTCCATTTCATGAAATATTTTATTTTAAAAAAAAAGAAGTTTTTTAATTAAAACAAAATGAAAATAATGAACACTCCCTATCTCAAAATGGCAGCTATCAGACGAATTTAAGCAGATGTAGGTTTTGTGCATTTTGTAAGTATATTATTGCTTCAGTTTATCAAATCAATGTAAATCCAGCTATTAATAAAAATGAAAGAACAGTTATGTATGTATGAAACTAAAAAGAGATGTCTATTTCTGTTTGATGAGACTGTCAGTAAGGGAGCAGTCCTAATTTCAAAATGTAGTTGGTCAATATCAAATTATCCGTTATCCAATTCTTATTAATACGTTTAAAATTTTCCTTCTAAAAGCAGAGTTCTTTGAAAATAGATACGAATATAATGAAATGATGGGGAGAAAACATTATTTCTGCTTCACACTCTCTCAATTAAATCCCTTGAAATAATTTTGAAGTCATCGGATCGGATCATTCTAAAATAGTTATAATCTTTGAAAATATATACAAATAAATGTAGGGGAGAAATCCTTTTTTTATCAGCAGCATAGGAGAAGGCACGGTCTCCATATTTAGCTTGTTTGACTTTGGGGATAACAAGAAGGTGCTGATTCCCTGATCTCAGAGATCTAGATGGTGCATAAGCCTGAAGATCTGAGAGGTAGACTGGAGCCATGTTAGTCATGCACTTGTATGCGAGACAGAGGAGTTTGAAAACGATTCTGTGTTTCACGGGCAGCCAATGGAGGTCCTTTAGAGTTGGTGTGATGTGCTGTTTTCTGGAGATCTGGGAGGTAATGCGAGCAGCTAAATTCTGTATGCACTGGAGTTGGCCAGTGACACAAGATGGAGATCCAGCCAAAAGGCCGTTACAGTAGTCCATACGTGGTGTGACTAGGCTGAGGCAGTGAGTTTTGGAGGCATCTTTGGTAAGAACGGTCTGGCCTTACTGATATTGCGAAGATGGAAGTAGCAAGTTTTAGTAACATACTTGACGTGTTCTGTCATACTGAGATCTTGATCGATGACAACACCCAGATCCTTGACAGTGGAAGAAAGTGGAATGGTTGCTCCACAGACAGACGCACTAGTATTGTCACATTGCTTGAGTTTTCCAGCCTGTCCCAGAAGAATGGACTCTGTTTTCTCTTTATTTAATTTCAAGGCATTTGATGACATCCATGCATATCTTCTGGCAACAGTCTGATGTCTGACGGAGAGACGCTCTAGATGACTCCGTGTTTGGTTGAAATAACTTCCACAGCTGCGTGTCATCTGCGTAGTTCTAAGTGGTCAAGGTTGTGGTCTGCTACAATAGAGCCAAGTGGAACAGTATAGAGGGTGAAGAAGATCGGACCAAGCACGGATACTCGAGGGACTCCGGACTCAAGCCTAGATGCGGTTGACATAGACTCACCAATAACAACAGTTTGAGTCCTGTCCTGTAGATAAGGAGCCAGCCATGATAAAGCTGAATCCTTCATTCAAAGTTCTGTATCAAATCTTTTGAGGAGTCTCTGGTGATCTATCGTGTCAAAGGCACTGCTTAGGTCAAGTAATGTGAGCAGGGCCACTTGTACCGTGTCAATACCACATCATAGGTCATTCAGGATCTTCAGCAGAGCCGTCTATGTGCTGTGGTGTGCTCTGTAGGCTGATTGGAACACCCTCCTCAGAGAGGTTATGCCAGGAAAGGTGTCCCATGAGACGACTGGAGACTGCACGTTCAATGAGCTTGGATATAAATGCTAAGTTTGAAACAGGCCTGTAGTTTTTTGGATCCGCAGAATCAAGGCTTGATTTCTTCACATGTGGCCTAACTAGAGCTGACTTGAGTACACGTATGACATAACCAGATGAAGTAGAAGAGTGGTAAAAGTACGTCAAGACAGTCATATAGAAGGTCAGTTGGAATCGGATCAAGTGAACAAGTTGTTCTTTTTGCAGATTTCAGTAGTTTAGTAACTTTAGTGTCAGTGAAACTATCAATATGAGTAAGAGGCGTGCCATCAAACATTTTTGGAGGAAAATCAGCTTCAGCCACAGCCATAGAAGACGAAATCTTGTCATGAATGTCTTAGATCTTTTTGTAGAAATATTCCGAAAATGTCTGTGCTGTTGCTTCATTGTCATCAGATGTCGGAAGTGACGATTCCCAGTGTTTACCCAAGATACTGAACAAAAGTTTGAACAGCAACTTTGGACTTGACTCGTTGACTTCAATCTTAGAATTGAGATGTCGATTTGGCTGATGACCATTGTTGAGTGATTTCTGGCTGAAATATACATTTGGTGATGAATCTCCAGGAAATATTTTTTTCCATCTGCGTTCTGCTTTCCTCTTGTCTCTTTTATCTTGTCGAACTTCAGGTGTGAAGTCCCAAGCAGATGTTTTAGTGACTGGTATGACTCTGTCCTTCACTGGTGCATGGTTGTCTAGCAGCTCAGATAGAACTCTATTGTATAGCAGAACGAGACTTTCAACATCATATTGTGGCTCAAGTATAAGGTCTGAGTTTAGCAAATTGTCTTTAAAAGTATCCTTATCCAGGGAGCGCATGTTCCTACAGCGAGGAATCTTCACATTTGGACTGGGTATTGAGAGGTCCAAGCTCACAAAGATATGGAAATGATCAGAGAGATGTAGATCCTATACAGATGACACATGCGTCTGAAGCATGGTTAACTATCCAGTCCAGAGTGTGAACACCTCTGTGGCTTGCCTCTGACACAAGTTGTACACAGTTGTGGACTTCAAGAAGATTAAGCATTCGTTTAGTGTCATGGTTATCCTTGTTGTCAAAATGGAAATTGAAGTCGCCTACGATGATAAGAGCTACTTCGTCAACTTTTCCAGTTGCCGAGACGGTGCCGAGCAGTAATTGCTGCCAATGGTGGCCATACAAAGTACTTTGACGCCATCCTGTGGACTCAAGTAAACAGAAACACAACAGTAAAGGCTTTGTCTATAGACGTTTGAATTTCACCTTTTTACCATTGGGATTGCATGAAATAATTGCTCTTAAACTAACGCAAGGAATTCTTTTGAAAATGGCTTTATGCGTTTCTTACTTTGAAGAGTATATTTCTGGATCGCAGTTTCATGTAAAGACCTCATCTATAGTTCATAAACAGGGTAAGAAGTACATTCCTTTTTCATATTGTACTAATTCTATATAAAATATGCTTTGTGCAGAAATGGGGGTTTTATTCATCATTATGACTTTTAGAGCTAAAAATAACTCTTTTATGTAAATTTAAGACTAAAAGCAACCTAAAACGATCTGGTGACTTACAGGATATGAGAAATATATTCCTTAACCAAATATGCATGGTATTTGATGTTAAAACCATTGTTCTGTTCCGGGTTTTTGCAACTTTTTCAGTTCCCGGTTAAATTTTGGCGGCCATCTTGGATTTTGAGCTAAATATAGCTTTCGCATTAATATTCGGATTGGAACCAAACATTTTTTTAAACTCCTTTAACATATAAACACAACAGAATATATGATTTGCTTTCATCAAAAAACTTTCACGGAATCCCATAAGCTCCTTGACTATTAACTGGTGTGGGCTACAGGGATCAGGTTCTTCGACCTGTGGCAATTCCTTTTCTGCAACGTCATGGCCCTGGGTTAACATTCCAACAGGACAATGCCCGCCCTCATACGGCAAGGGTTGCTATGGATTTCTTGCAACACCACAACGTTGACTTACTGCCTTGGCCTGCAAATTCACCGGATCTCTCCCCGATAGAGCATGTTTGGGACGAGATGGATCGAAGTCTACGCCGTCTTCCTCATCCACCAGATAACGTCCTTGACCTTGCAACAGAACTTGAGGGAATCTGGCGTGACATCCCACAAGCCTTCCTTGCACGTTTGATAGGCTCTATGCGTCGTCGATGCACTGCTGTTCTCAATGCCGATCGTGGACATACCCGTTATTGAGCTTGTGACATGGTCGTTTGACCCCTGTCCCGCTTGTGGACTCGTGACGTCATTGTGATTGACTTTTCAATTGCAATTCTCCCGACTTGTTATGGTCTCATGATCCCTCCATTAAAGTTTATATGTACCTTTGACATTGTTATCGTACTTATCCACTGGGATGATATTTTGACAATGCACAGTTTCTTTATGTGGCTAGTATAATATAGGCCAAAATATTGTTGAAAATGTGTGAAATTGTGCCTTTAAATATATAATGTCAGTGATAGCAACAAAAGAACACTACAGTCACTTTAAGCAGATTCTGATAAACCATCCTCGTGTTTCAGGGACCGGTTCCGAACCGCCATCAATGTCCTTGGTGATGCATTCGGAGCGGGAATTGTGGCTCATCTGGCCAGGAAAGAACTGGAGAAAATGGATAAGGATGTAGAGACTGGACAAGGAGAGATCAACAATGGCTATATATCTAGCATACTCGAGGAGGAGAGGCTATAAACACATGATGGTTGCCGAATTTTCTTACAGCCGTTTCCCTTTATCTGGAAGTTGAAGGACTGACTGACTGACTGACTGAGTTTAGTTTTACGCTGCTTTTAGCAATATTCCAGCAATATCACGGCGGGGGACACCAGAAATGGGGCTTAACTGGAAGTTGAAGGAAATGTGAGTTGACTTAGCGGTTAAAGCGATAGCTCGTCACGCTTAAGTCCAGGGTTCGATTCCCAAATTGGTGTACTGTTTCATCATTACCTGTGCCTTGTATCGTGACGGCGATTCAACTGTCTTCTTAAATAGGTTGAACAAACCCGATATGACAGTCGTGAAAGGTAGAATGGCTCCTTCGACATAGATACTATTTACCTAGATACTAATGTTTGAGGTAATCCAGAAAACCCTACTGCCGTCTTGAATCTTATCTCTTTCCATGCGTTTCTATGACGAATAGTGAACCCCGTTATACCAGACACCCTCAGTGAAGTCGCAGGAGGACTACTTTTTAAAACGGATATATTGTAAATTGAGTTTTATTTAAGTGAATTAACAATGATTCGTTAATCCGGATATTTGTTATTCAGGACGATGTTTACTAGAAGGATCAGTGTCCGGTTTAACGGGGTTTGACTAAAGCGAGCCCTTCTGGTGATTTGGTCGAGTAGATGTTTGAAGTTATTGTGAAAGACTTGATGACCGTGTACATTTGTCATGTTTGATTTTAATTAAGTAAGTGAAAGACTACCAGTAATATTTCGCTGAAAGAATAGTATTTTATGGCTTAAGTTGTTTACCTGCTGAAAGGATACCCCATGTTCAAACTTTGTTCACATCCCAATGTCTTTCAATAATGTTTTTTTGTCCTTTGACATGTGAAAAAATATTAGAGACGTCACAGGGTTGTGGTATGTGTATGTACATAGTGTAAATAGAAACTCTCAGTGTGTAACATGTAAAATATACGACTCCGTTCCCATAATCTACACACAGAAAAACCACAAGATTTACTCCGACATTAATAGATGGAGAGCAAGGACCAACGGGGTTGACTATACGATGTAAACAAGTCTTTATTTAACCCAACACAGAAGAAAACATATTTGTTTGCGCACAATGTAGACTTAAGTCCTTGTACAGATGTAACCGTTTATATAGGCATGGGATATTCCTTTACTCACTGTGCAATCAGGAAAAACAGATATTACGTGATATACAGGGTTTATTCAAACATGTGATCAATACCGAACTAGGATATACAATATTTTCGATATTTCTGTACGGTCTAAAGATGCCTTCATAAAACCTGACATTTGTTTCCGCTAAATACAGACTTTACCCAATTTTGAAATGACTGTCTCTTATAGTTATACGGTAAGAAGGGTTGTTCTTTTGAGTGCAATGCTGAAATAACACAGGTATTGTCTTATGGTTACTGAAAGAGGTAATAAATGTGATAGGAACGGATTTTCTATACGATATAAAGATCGTAAAACCTTATAATGAAAAAACGTATTTGTATACGCAAAAAAATTTTTTTCAAACACGCCATGTTGATACGTTTGGACACCTGCCGGCCCGAGCCATGATGAAGTGATTCTGAAACCAATCAAGGCCAGACGTCCTGATAAATCAAACATCACACCACGAGGTGCCTTACCCACACGCACGCACGCACGCACGCACGCACACAGAGGGAATAGTGATCTAGAAGCCTGTAAATGATTCCTTAGATGACTTCAAACCATTTTATGGAACATAGTTCTGCGATTATATGTTGTTGAAGCTGTTATACAGTGGGCGTATAGTAGCGCAACGCACACGTTCATGCGCGCGCGCGCACGCACACACACACACGCTGAATATTTTCACCACCCCACGAAAGGTTCTGCCATCGGTAGGTTCGAATCCTACAATCCATGACCTGTCGGCACCATCCTTAGTGTTTATCAAATTTACCGCCTACAGCCTGCCGTTACTGTTGTATTACAAGGACATTAAGCACTGAATACAACAGGACATCACGTGGCAAGCCAGGAACTCCAGGCACTGCGTGTCCAAACCTATTCTCCATCCATCCATATAAACAGTAGGATATTGCTGCAAGGAAAATGCGGAATACAGTTCTCCCTTAAACATCATGTGGCAAACCAGGAACTCCCGACACTGCGTGTCCAAACCTATTCGCTATATCTATACAAATAAACAGTAGGATATTGCTGCAAGGAACATGCAGGATATAGTTCCCTGTCTTATCCCCAAATTTTGACTACCTCACAGTTTAAGAATACTTAAATATGTCTCCATGTTAAGTTATAGAACTTACCATTCGCAGTTTTGCTAAATCTGAACATATAGAGGGAAAATTAACAAAACATTCTATGATTCTTTGTGACTTTGTGATTTTTACAGAAACGTACGGTACGGCGCGATTTTTGTGACAACTCGCGTTATTCCGGGGTGCGAACTCGCGCGGAGTGAATGTACTTAAAACAGTTGTTCCTTACAGTAACATGGGATTCTTAGTAGAAAAATAAATGGAGATCATTGTTGAAAACCCAGTTGTTCAACAAAACCTACAGGACAAATCAGTGCCTATGACGCAAAGCGTTTTTGAGCAGTAATCCCGACTAGTTACGGAAAGGGGCGAGTGGTCACGATTTTAAGGCATTGAAACGCACAGTCCTGATATAAACGTTGTGCTGATATAAACTTTGACAGGCGTTATACTTAGATTGTTTTATAATTATATATAATATTCAGTTTTTGCCTTTACTTTGTTCGGTCCAGCCGCAATAATTGTTTTAAATGTACGTTTTATATTAGTCGACTGCTCCAATCAAATATATGTACAGTAGCTAGGTTAAGCTACCGAGAAATACATCTGTTTAAATAGTGCTCTTATTCTACTGTCAGTTCTTAAAAGGGTGTCTATAGAGGACTGAATACCGAAATCTAACGAAATTAATTTTTTTTATTGCTTCAGAGCTAAATATTATTTTCAGAATATCTCAACACAGTTTCAACTTCTTCATATTTTGGTATTATTGTCATATTGTATGTTGTTTTTAGTAGCAATAACGTTCCAGTCATATTTGACACTTTACATAAACTTTACAGAATTACAAGTTCCGTTTTATTAAATATCTTGTTTATGTCATATTTGTGTATGAATCAAGGAAATTACATCCACTGGTTGTATATTGTTTCAGTTGTATATTTACTCAATTTTATAATTTTATATTTAAACAGATGAATAAAATATTTTCAAGTAGTGTTGTTGCGTCTGTGGTAGATCAACAGCTGGGAGTCAAAGACAACATGGGATTCGGGATATCCCCTTGAAATTGTCGGATTTTTCATACCATTTAACCATCCACTGCGAAATGTGAAATTGAAGCTGTTGGACTTAACATCAGCGGAATAAACTTTCGCCCCCAGTACCAGCAGCAGCAGCACCACCACAAGCAACAACAACGACAACAATCTCATAAACAATTATTATTATATCTTTTACAACTATACCTGGAGAAGCATGACAATGTGGTAGTGTTAATCTCAGCTAAAGGGAGTGAGTGAGTTTAGTTTTACGCCGCTTTTAGCAATATTCCAGCAATATCACAGTGGGGGACACCAGAACGCTTTAACCACTAGGCTACCCCACCGCCCCTCAGCTGCGAGACCTAGCTACGGAGTATGTCCTACTCCGAGTATATCGTCAGACATCTCGACTATGACCAAGTTTCCAAAGTATATAATTGAAATAGAAAAAAAAGCTCCACACACATAAAGAGGACCCTAGTGACTGAGGTATTCAGAGTGGAAAGTCTACACTTGCTTCATTTAGAGACACAACATTTCAAACCTCACTTGGTATACTCCGCGCATTTGATTTATTGTCAAACGTTATGGGTGCCTTATATCACTGCGGTGCGATATAGATGCAGGTGGTGAAACGTTCTTCAGCGTTGTTAGTGCATGTCGTCCATGATGGGGGCGTTGCTTGGCTGGTTTGTTGTTTAACGCCGCATTCAGCGATATTCCAGCTATATGGCGGCGGTTCTCTAAATAGTCGAGTCTGGACCAGACAATCCAGTGATCAATAGCATGAACATCGATATACGCAATTGGGATACGATGACATGTGTCATCCAAGTCAGCGAGCTTGACCACCCGATCCGGTTAGTCGCCTCTTACGACAAGCATAGATCGTTAGACCAATTCTAGCCTTGATCTTCACGGGTTTGGGGGCGTTGCTAATGTTGTAATATATTAAGGACCACATCGAGGCTTTCAACGCTAGATGTCTATGTCGAGAAGGCCGAATACAGAAGGCCGTTTGTTGCGAGAACGGTGTACGTATACAACAATATAAACCCTGTATGAAGACTGACTCGTCTTTCATCTAAATCATCTAAGCGTAACAAATACAGGGTAGCAACAAGTGACAACAGCCCGTTGAAGCAGAGGACAACATATTGCATACACCTTAGCGTGACGTCTACTGCCTTGGTCCAACCTTCTGAAAGGGACTTTCGTGTCCGTCAGAAAGTGAAAATGTCGCAAATATTATCATCAATACAGCAACAATATATAATTGTAGATACATTTATACTTAAGACATGAGTGTTATAGCTGATATTGGAGAATTTATTTTTGTCTGATATACAATGCGGACATTATGTATTAATTGTATTAATGTGTGTGTTTGAATGTGTGTGTGTGAGAGAGGTGTGTGTCAGAGAGAGGTGTGTGGTGTGTGAGAGAGGTGTGAGAGAGGTGTGTATGTGTGAGGTCTCTGTATGTGAGAGAGAGGTGTGTGAGGCGTGTGTGTGACTGAGAGAGAGGTGTGTGTGAGTGAGAGGTGTGTGAGGTGTGTGTGTATGTTTGAATGTATGTGTGTGAGGTGTGTGTGTGTAGGTGTAGGCGAGGTGTGTGTGTGTGAGGTGTGTGTATGTCAGAGAGAGGTGTGGGGGTGGGCGTGTGTGTGTGTGAGGTGTTCTTATGTGAGAGAGAGAGGTGTGTGTGACTGAGAGGGTGTGTGTGTGTGTGTGTGTGAGAGAGAGAGAGATATATTTGGGATTACACTTTAACTTTAGATTCTAGTACTTTGTTGGATTGAGTATTTTACTGAGAGAGTGTAATCTCAAGTATAACGTGTTGCATTGTGTATTCATAGCTCCTGTCATGGGGGCCCGGCGGGGGTAGCCTAGTGGTTAAAGTGTTCGCTCATCACGCCGATGACCCGGGTTCGACTCCCCACATGGATACAATGTGTAAAGCCCATTTCTGGTGTCCCTCGCCGTGATATTGCTGGAATATTGCTAAAAGCAGCGTAAAACCATACTCACTCGCTCACTCAAGCCTGCCATGGGAGCCGTGCCAATTTACACTTGTCAAAAGGGTACTGAGAACGTGGTCTAGTCTACCAGTTGGCAGACTTTCATTGTGGAAGCCATGGTGAGAGACTTGATCGGGGATAACTGACCTTGATAACCCTACTTTGCCCAGCCATATATATAGCTAGAAAATTGCTGAGTGCGGCGTTAAACAACAAACCAACCAACCTTACTTTGAGTATGTGGGTTCGAATCCAGGTACATATATTGTTATTATGAAAACACCTTCAGGGAATTCAGAGTGATAATAGGTAACCAACATATACTTGCTATACGAGGCTGTTTAACAGACCGGCCAGTGACTATCCCGAGGGTATTGGATGAAGATGGTAAAATCAGTCACTGGACACAAAGCTGAAATATTGCCAAGCGCCCCGAGTATACATGCATGTATATTGCATATATAATAATTATATTGTTGCCAGTGGGCCCTTTTCAGCAGAAACGCTAAACTAATAGAAGACCCGTGACGATCCGGGTTAGAATTGGTCTTTGGCAACCCATCCTTGTCTCAAGAAGCGACTAACGGAATCGGGTGGTCAGGCTCGCTGGCTTAGTTGACGCCTGTCATCGTATCCCAGTAGAGTAGATCGAGGCTCATAGTATAAATCACTGGATTTTCAGACCCAGACTCGAATGTTTACATATCCTTATAGCTGAACTATTGATGAATGTGACATTAGACAACATAATAACACGAAAAGAAACGATTTCATGCGAATAAAATTCTCTCTTAAAAAAAAAACGCATAGGGGGGTTGAGATTTTTCTATTCATTTTCATATCGGCAATCGATCTAAAGACTATGTTTATGTTTGAATGATGTGATGCATGTGATTTTAATGGTTATGTCGCGCAAACACAACCCAAAAAACTTAATGTTAACGTTGTCAGCAATTGTGAAGAAAATGATGAAATTCGCGTGCAACGCATATGTTGATCACAATGCACGTGAAATGAGTGGAATCCATCAGTAGAGACAATGACTATAAAAGCCCGATACATTTACTCCATTGTATCACAAATATTGATGAGGAATGAACGACACAAAATGCCAAGACGGAATGCCGCTGACAGGAACATTGCTACTGGACGTCTGGAAGCTGGAGAAAACCAGTCTGCAGTTGCACGTCATTATAACGTCCACCAAAGCACAATATCTCGTCTGTGGGCCCCTTATACAGCATTCAATTCGACGCGAGATCGCACAAGAAGTGGACGACCACGAGTGACCACCCCTGCTCAGGATAGGTACATCCGGGTGTTCCACCTACGACATCGGCAAGCCACAGCCACGGATAGAGCAGGACATGTGCCAGGTGTACGTCGAGTATCCGACCAAACGATCTGCAACCGTCTGAAAGAGGCGGGACTTCGAGCGAGACGCCCTATGGTTGGACGTGTGTTGCGCCATCTACAGCGACGTCGACGTCCTCGTTAGTGCACCACCGTACAGCCCTGGAATCTGGCTAACTTGAGGAGAATCTGGTTCAGTGATGAACCACGTTTTTTCTCCTGCAACGCCATGATGGAAGACAACGTCTGTACCGACGTAGGAATGAACGTTACGGACCCAGCTGCGTGACAGGTCGATCTCTTCGGTGGGGTGAGTGTTGTGATGTGGGGTAACATATCATACACAGGTAAGACCGACTTAGTGCTGGTTCAGGGGAACCTGACTGCAAACCGGTACATCAACCAGATTGTTCGTCCACACGTCCGTCCCATTATCAACCGCCAGCGAGACATCTTACAGCAAGATAACGCCCGACCCCATACGGCACGCGTGACAATGGCCTACCTAGCCAATGAGAACATTAATGTCTTGCCATGGCCGTCCAGGTCCCCAGACTTGAACCCCATAGAAGATCTTTGGGATGAGCTGGATCAACGTGTACGTCAACGCCAACGGGTCCCGCAGACGCTTGGAGAACTTGCAGTGGCGTTACAGGAGGAATGGCGGAGGTCCCCGGGCAAGAATCCAACGTCTCATCCGGTCTGTTCGGGGGAGGTGTCGAGCAGTGATAGCAGCTCGTGGTGCTCACACTAGGTACTGACTATAACGCCCCCTGGGGCCACACTTTGTGCAGTGACTGGTATGACAAAGTGATGACACTATTCACAATACAATTGTCAATCTGTGTACGCAATTTTGGCTCACTAGGTTCACTCTGCTATGAGATATGCTCGTTTGAATAAACACAATATTTATCCTATTTTTTTCCATATGCGTTTCTTTTTTTGAAGAGTGTATTTATAACTAGAAAAGAATTTAGTTAAGTTGAGTTGAGTTTTACGTCGCATCGGTATTGTTTCAGCCATACAGCGACGAGACCAAACAGCTTGAAAAGAACGTTATGTTAAAAGTTAAGACAAACCCTCTGACAAACACCCCAGGAGGTTATTTTCAAACCATAACAAACATCAGCCACCGTAAGTTGAATGAGACGCATCTCGCGTGAAGAGGATACCCGGATTATACGGTAAACAACCGGAACGCACTTCCACTGACTGAGTCTCACAAACAACTGAGGACATTGAGGTCAATCACGTAGGGAGGCTCTCGATGGGGTTTATCGGGTCACTAACCACTAATACACTTTTGTCAAAAGTGTGTCCTTGGAGGTTCAATAGACACAGTGGACACCAACGTGATAGGTGTCAGTTTGGCTAAACCAGATCTTCGTTCATAGAATGTTGTAATACAAGGCAAATCTTATTGATAATATCTTCTTTATTTTGTTTCACACGACGTTTTTGGGCTTGTTCTTCCCCTTTCTTCAGGGGATGGAGAATGTTTGTTCGGTCTATGGGAGCCTGGTACTATTGGGTTCGGGAAAATGGGGATCTTTGTTGAAGTCGTTGTTTGATTTATTGCATGGAGATGTTCCATTCAGCGTGTTTGAATACCAGTGTTATACAAACTGACCTTGAATATGTCAACGTGAACGTGTTCGCGGTGACACGAAGCGACGTAATGACGTAAAATGCAAGTCATCTGAGAACTGAGAACCTACATAAAACAGAGTACTTGTCATTAAATCTTCCTTGCCGGACGCTTGTTTACACGTATTGAGTATTCAGCACTCATACAGCGATATTTGGCTTGGCAGGTGACAATCGCGTTCGTGATTCCTTTCAAGTGGCGAAGACTAGAGTTATATTGCTAAAGAAAGATTTTCAATAAACTGAAACCAATAAACTTCCGCTACAAGTACGATTTTGATCAACGATATGTCTAAAGCGTCTGTTAGATGGGTTTTAGTAATCGCCCTTTCTACGCACTTCAATGTGTGGCCTAGTGGTTAAAGCGTACGCTCATCACGCCGAAGATCCGGGTTCGATTTCCCACATGGGTGCAATGTGTGAAGCTCATTTCTGTTGCCCCCCGTCGTGATATTGCTGGAATATTGCTAAAAGCGGCATAAACCATACATACTCCATTTCACCCACATTATCCAGTGACGCGGCGAGGTGGCCCAGAGGTTATAGCGTTCACCTGGCTTCAAGTCTCTTCATTGGCACAGTGAAACCAGTTTCTGATGTCCCTCATGGAACAAGATATTGCTGGAAGCTTAAAAGCGGTGTAATAAAACCTTACACATTCACGTTCTCTTTGGAAAGCGAAAACAAATCCTGTGAAATTTAAGCATAACTAGGTATTGCCCGACTCAACCTTAGGTGTGTCAGTAGAAGTATAGGGCCCGCGGGGTAGCCCGGTGTGTCAGTAGGAGTATAGGGCCGGCGGGGTAGCCAAGTGGGTAGAGTGTTCGATCGTGACGCCGAAGATACAGGTTCGATGCCCCCTTTGAGTACAATGAGTGAGGCTATTTTTGGCGTCCCTCGCCGTGATATTACTGGAATATTGCTAAAAGCGCCGTAAAACCCAACTCACTCACTCACTCACAGTCCAGCAGGTAAAGTGTGTATTGTTTGTTACTTAGGTGTTCACGGGAACACAATATGTTTGTAATACTAACTTATAATTAGTTCCTCTTATACAAGCTAGTCACCAGTGTTTTGGTTCATAGTTATGATAGTGCCTTGTGTCAGGCTAGGCAGCGGATGACTACGTGTAACCGAACTGCTGATCATTTGTAATCATTAAATTTCCAGATTACGAAAGCCTAATATTGTCACTTTGTTGCATAAACTATTTTTTCAACGAAATTTCTTGCTGCTTTGATTGTTTTGTCGTTGCTTGTGAGTATTTTCTCGATATTTCAATTGTTTTTCAGAAGCTTCGATCAATTACTCGTTTCTTCGAGTGTTGTCAAATATAGTCGAAGCAGCGAAATATTTTCGCTGAAAACATATTTCCTGCTACAAACGTGGCATTTCGACTTTCGCACCAGATTAGGCCATTTTCTTGGAGCAGTACACTAGCTAGCTCTACACTGTACTGGAAAAATCCTCGTCTCAACCCCTCGTGTTACCCCGGTAACGTAACACACAGGGAGAACCCCATGCGTGACCCAAGAGAACAATACTAAATTCCATATGGCGGTTGGGGTGGTGATTTATGTGTCTACCCCCATTGTGTGTGCTTTTGAAGCAGTGTACGTTACAAGCAACATGTGAATACAGAAACACAACGTTTCACAGTACCATAGTTTCATATTACTTAATTATAACTGGCTCAGGTTTAATACTACCAGCAAATAGTCTGTCACTCAGACTGTCAAACAAAATTATCCAATACAACAAGCAAGTTGATAATTCTTGCCGGTTCAAGATGGCTGCAGATCCAGCACTTAAGAATTTAGGTCTCTTGGCTCCAGTTTATGACATATTATTAGGGTAATATTAGAACTGTTTTTCGTGATATGTGTTAATTTCTGACACTAGAAGTTACTGACTGAATTCTGTTGTCTCACAGAGTGTAAATTATTCGAGTTAGACGGACATACTGGTGGTTGAAAAAATTAGCAACGATCCATGACACACAATGACCCCAACCATTCGACGAAAAGATTGGACACTGCAAGAAGACTGCTCTGCCCCGGAGTCCCAAGCGGGTCCATATCAACATGGCATAGAAGAGAAACATGCCTTCTTTGAAATGAAGGAAAGGTTTTCAGCCAGAACATGCAGCAAATGAAGACCATTTTGAGAGCTCCCTCGAGGTCACCTTCACAAAGTGATCCTAGTATTATGGCTGACTTAACCCATGTATTACGAGTGACGTAACCCATAAGTTCTGACGTGGACCTAGAAGGAAGAAGGCTAAGAACGTTTGGTGAAAATAGGTTTCGATATCGGTATATATTTCAAATACATTGATTGAGAAACAAAACCAAACAACAACACAAAAACAACGATGTATGGTGAAATTCTAAAATATATTCAAGTATTGAAAAATTAAGATAAGAAATCAGATATTTAACTCTCATTGCTATGCAAAATAATAACATTTGCTTTTATAGATAACGTTGATGACAGTTGTTTTATTCATAACCTGCTCTTGTAACTCCATGGCTGAAACAAAGTCCATACACGTCAACTATTATAATCGAGGTCTTACTGTATATCGAGAGTATCTTCGCAGTTCCCAGTTCCATAACAAAAACACCATTCTTATCAGGAATGGACACCCCTCAAACCTCAGAGCTTGCCTCGTGTTAACCGTTCCTTTTCTCGAAGTATTGTAAAATATTTCGCAGATTAATTTTAGTGGGATGCGATATACACGACCCAACACAGGGTATTGCCATGCATGCATCTTCCTTGCGAAGGAAAACTACGAATGCCGTAAAACTGCAATGCATATCAAGCATCAAATATAGATCGTCAGTGCAAAGTGATACCCAGTGTTGAGTATACTCAGAAACAACAATCGTTTAATGTAAAAGGACAAATAACTGTCATTATATACATGAGGCGATGCGTATCCTCTGCTAACCTTGCTTTAGAACATCCATCTTGAATCTCTTCTAGTTGAAGTAGTTGGAGGACAAAAAGCATTTATTTCTGTTATTTGTCTGTTAAGTATTTACGCTGTTATTTGTCATTTTCCGATCACAATGATATTCACATCATATTACATCATATAACATCATATCACATTAGTGTTAAGGACGTTTACTTGTGCGGATGTCCATTCTCACTTCATCACGAACACCTTGTCTCAGTCTGGTGAGGAGTCTCATTCTTCATTCATCAGAGGAGGGTGCTTGTGCTCTGTGACGGACTGACTGAGTTTGCTTCTACGCCGCTTTTAGCAATATTCCAGCAACATCACAGCGGGTGACACCAGAAATGGGCTTCACACATTGTACGCATGTGGGGATTCGAACCCGGGTCTTCGGCGTGACGAGCTAACGCTTTAACCACTAGGCTACCCCACCGCCCCTCTGTGACGGAAAATACGTGGTCGCCAATGGTACTGCATTAACCTTTAACATGTATCTATCCCGCACTTCCAGTGTGTGGCTACTTGTCTCACAACATTCAGTCGATACTTGTGGCCATCATGTAGTACCTGTCTTCCTCCTCTCTGAGACAAGATGAGATCTGCCCTCTGCAGGTTAGCCATTGTGACTGTCAGTGACTGTCAGTTAGCCTACATTGTTTTTGTATGCGAAATGGGATGTAGGCGAATTGAGATGTAGGCGAATTCATAGTCTTTCTACCACGCTTGGGTAACTGTGCATGACCGACACCTTCTAATGCATATTCATTTCGCAAGGTCAGAGTTCACCAGTTAAACCAGTTCGCTGGTTTGGTATCAGTTGAGGATCTACCTTGCGCTTGGAAACAGGTAAGTGTTTTGATTTGTGCATTTTTAAACACTCATATTGTCACGCTTCATTAGCAGGTCAAACAAAACCAATCAAGTCAAACACGCATGCTATCATGTTGCATCGCATGCTAAAACGGTAGTTTAATAGGCCATCGGTAAAGTAACAGAAACAACGCTTGACCATGCGAGACGGACACCAGGTTGCATTGTCCACTCCACACTGCCTGTTTTACATTTACTTGTTATCTGGTTTGTTTATCAGTGGATTTGTCGGTAAATAAACAAAATCTGTCGGTAAATAAACAAATAGAAAACAAAGGACGGATGCATGTAACCGATATCTAAGGAAGGATAACAATATATGGATGAACAACTTCTTTATTGCTGTGAGAGCTCTATATTGTTATCCTTCCTTACTGCCCCAACGTCTAAATGCCTCTCAAAGAAGTTAACCGATATCTGTCACAACTGTTTTGGGGTCTAAATTACCTTCCGTTCACCCCAACTATATTACACATGCACTTTAAAGACAGAAAGTAGTTTTATGCACAATGCACTGTCTGAGGACATGTTTCCTATGCATGTACTGTTTCCTTGTGATTTACGCCCAGCCGAGCCACCTGACAAAGGCCCGCGCTAGGTTACTTGTACAATATCTTGTGCCATTTATATCTTTCTGAATGTATATTTACTGAAAACGAATGCAATTTCCTTTCTTGTGGACAATTCACTCTGAAACCAGCAGAGCAAATGAATGACGAAACTGGTCAAACCAGTCATGTTATTGCGTTCCTTATACTGTGTAGGCCGTCAATATTCTTACATGTAAGTTCGACATGTTCAAGGCTGCTTTTCAGTGTCATCTATGATCTTACATGCTCACAAACTGTGACACTTATACACCGTGATACACGTGGATCCATTTCCCCATCAGCTATCGTGCATCATGTGGGATCTCAGAGTCTTCATCCACCTTCTGTTGATAATGTCAACGCGTAGATGTTCATGTGTCGACACGGGAACCAGCTCAGAATTATACGTTGACGTAGACGAACGAATGAGTTGAGTCTCAACTTTTTAGTCGGTTATACAATAAACAAATTACATGAAGAAATATGTCGAGCAGTGATTATAACTTTGCTATCATGGCGGACACGGTCAAGGGGATGACCAATTAAGGTTATAAATGTCATAATAAATCGTATGGCACAATGTGGAATATTCTAAATTACCCTAACGAGATGAACTTCAACACTTTACGAAAGTGAAGCAATAGAAAAATTATAATCTTGAAAGACAACTACTTGTCAAAACAGAGTACCCTAAAGTCACGCTGTGACAATAACCTCCAACACAACTTCTGTCGCACTAGCGGGTAATTTGATTGGCTGTCAGCGTTTGGTCCTTGGAAGCGAACTCAAAGTGAGGTTATCGAGGCGAATGGCTCGAGGCTATTTTGTAACAATATGATGAAGATATCTTACACTATGTAATAGCTGATGAGGGAGAGGACAGATCCCTGGTTTACTCTGACAGCAAGAGGAAGTATCAAACATTACCGTCCAGGGTTTCACAAAGAGAAGTTATTCAAAGACGTTTTAACCCGTACTTTAACATAACCTGACTTGATCACGCCCGGTTTCCTAAAGCGACCTTAGCATTTATGATAACATTATATATAACATTCGTAGATTCGGTCATTACGCCTTACTTTTACCTATCAATAAAATACGCAGACGTCGGCGATACGTTATTGAATATCAAAGGTTATTCATTTCGCTTTTTCATGCCCACGGACTATGAACAGACACCTGTAATGACAAACGACCTAGATATTTAGAAGGGATAGGTTTGATGGATACATCTGATATATTTTAGGTCAACATAAACAGTTTAGCACCTTATAAATGAGTTTACTTATTATTGAGATATATGTAAATGATTTCTTGAACATGGTGAAAATTTCAGTCGTATTGTGTGTGTCCGCGGTGGGTTGGAACTGCTTTTAGTCTATTATATAAACAGAAAAATATGGATCGCTCGAAAAAAAACCTACTGCTTGGTGACATATACTAGCCACATAAAGAAACTGTGCACACGGAAAATACCTTCAGAACTGGAATATAACACAGAAAAGACGAAATGATGTAGACACTTGATAAGCTGAAGTATCGGGCCACAACAACATGTCAAAAGAACATGAACAATATCTGTAACGATGACGTCAGAAGTTCAAAATTGTGTAGGGGGTCACAGTCAATAACGGGTATGGCCATCATGCGCGTGAAGCACAGCAGTGCATCGACGACGCATAGAGGCTACCAAATGAACATTGAAGGCCTGGGGAATGGTTTAGGACGTGGTCACTGCCGTCTGGAACCCGAATCCATCTGTCCTGTCTTGGCGTCGTTACTCGTTGTTGGATCATGCCTGCTCGAATCATTTCAATGGCTTCATGACTCGTGACTTTGAGCAGATGTTAATCTTGGCATGATGTGCATGTGATTTCTCATGTGAATTTGTGAACGTTTGAATGACCAAAGGTCAAGCTTTCGACAGTGACAGCAATTCCTGAGTTTCACATGTTGTGTGCAGCTGCACAGGCTGCACGTGCAGTAACACATTACAAGTCCATAGGCTACCATCAATGACGTCACGTCGCCTGGCACCTGCATGAGCGTTTGATTGTCTTCAATACTTGCTATGTTCACACCTTTATTTATGTATGAAGAGACTGTCTGAATATCTTCATATTTTCTGTGTGCACAATTTCTTTATGTGGCCAGTATACAATCAAATTGTTCCCAACTTTTACAGAAATATAGCTGCTTGGCAGCAGTGACCAAAGGAATTCTTGTCTCGAACAAAAATCCAAGCACCCATATCTCATTAATATCAGATTTTGTCCAGCACTACTTAAGATCTGACGTGATCAGGTCTGTCCAGCTCCTAAACTCCCCACGCCGTATTGAATGATCGGTCCCATGCAACGTTACATGTATTCATTATACAAGCCATCAATCACGATGCAATTAGGATGTGCCTGTGGGTATGGAGGTTATGACTGTAGGCCATGCTCTTGTCCTAACTGGTAGACGGGTCCCAAGAATTATGTATATATAATTAGGTTTAGTTTCATCTTAAGGTTATGTTCTTATCTTTCAATAGACGCAGGTGTCCTGAACCTCCTCGTTACGATGACGAACATTGCTCATGTAATATTTCATTCCTATTTGTGTCCATTTGTGTCAGTTCTTGATTACCGTTCTAAACGTTTTCATGTGTAATTACAAGAAATGGAGAGATACTGGTAGTAATTTACATGCTTCAACGCTCATCTACCTTTGATTGAAAATAAACTCAGTACTCGCGCCCCCAAGCATTGATGACAATGTCAGCTCCTGTCCTACTTAATGACGATGTCAGCTCCTGTCCTGATTAAGGACGATGTCAGCTCCTGTCCTAATTAATGACGATGTCAGCTCCTGTCCTAATTAAGGACGATGTCAGCTCCTGTCCTAATTAAGGACGATGTCAGCTCCTGTCCTGATTAAGGACGATGTCAGCTCCTGTCCTGATTAAGGACGATGTCAGCTCTTGTCCTAATTAATGACGATGGGACGATGTCCTGATTAAGGACGATGTCAGCTCCTGTCCTAATTAATGACGATGTCAGCTCCTGTCCTGATTAAGGACAATGTCAGCTCCTGTACTGATTAAGGACGATGTCAGCTCCTGTCCTGATTAAGGACGATGTCAGCTCCTGTCCTGATTAAGGACGATGTCAGCTCCTGTCCTGATTAAGGACGATGTCAGCTCCTGTCCTGATTAAGGACGATGTCAGCTCCTGTCCTGATTAAGGACGATGTCAGCTCCTGTCCTGATTAAGGACGATGTCAGCTCCTGTACTGATTAAGGACGATGTCAGCTCCTGTCCTGATTAAGGACGATGTCAGCTCCTGTCCTGATTAAGGACGATGTCAGCTCCTGTCCTGATTAAGGACGATGTCAGCTCCTGTCCTGATTAAGGACGATGTTAGCTCCTGTCCTGATTAAGGACGATGTCAGCTCCTGTCCTGATTAAGGACGATGTCAGCTCCTGTACTGATTAAGGACGATGTCAGCTCCTGTCCTGATTAAGGACGATGTCAGCTCCTGTCCTGATTAAGGACGATGTCAGCTCCTGTACTGATTAAGGACGATGTCAGCTCCTGTCCTGATTAAGGACGATGTCAGCTCCTGTACTGATTAAGGACGATGTCAGCTCCTGTCCTGATTAAGGACGATGTCAGCTCCTGTCCTAATTAATGACGATGTCAGCTCCTGTCCTGATTAAGGACGATGTCAGCTCCTGTCCTGATTAAGGACGATGTCAGCTCCTGTCCTGATTAAGGACGATGTCAGCTCCTGTCCTGATTAAGGACGATGTCAGCTCTTGTCCTGACTAGGGACGATGTTAACTCTTGTCCCCCCTGAAAACAGTGTTGGCATCTGTCCAAACTGATGACGTCCCTAGATGATGACGAATCCCACATCTGTTCCTTATTGATGATGGTACTAACACACGGCCATGGGTGACGACCATGTTAACACCTGTCCGTGACTGACGTCACGATCCCACTTCCTCACTTGGACGAAGGAAATACTGATTTCTGTTTGCAATATTCCTATTTTCCAACATGTGGCCCGTGCGATAGCAATAGCAGATTCAGTAATTATTGACAGAAAATGTGCTTGCTTATCATTTAGTGGTATCCATACATGATTCTCTATATTTAGATCCAGTCCCCAACACTTGTAACGGACAGGTATTCATATAAACCACTACGGCTTGTGTACCAATCCACATTCTACTTGAAAAATATGTTTAAAAGACTTGGGCAGCAATATATTAACTGGACAAGACGTAATACAAGTCACTGATTAATATATTTAGCAATATACGTATAGATATTCGCAATCAGTATGTATGTATATGATACTAATAAATACTTCAGGTAGATGACTTTGCCAAAGTTCAATGTTAAAAGTCTAAACTGACTACTTTGGAGAGCAGTGAGTGAGTGAGTATGGTTTAACGACGCTTTTAGCAATATTCTTGCAATATCACGGCAGGGGAACACCAGAAATGGGCTTCACATATTGTACCCATGTGGGGAAACGAACCTGGGTCTTCGGCGGGACAAGCCAACACTTTAACCACGAGGCTACCCCACAGCCCCGAAAGGAGAGCAGTTATGAAACCCGTTAAACAAACCCGTGTTTCTAATCCGACAACGCTCTTGTACTCATGTGGATCTGTCTTTGTTCTTGTTGGTTGTCAACCCAAACTGGGTTGTGTTTTAACAGGTGAGCAATTGCCTTGGATTTGCATGTGTTTGTGAGGTGTGTGACAGGTAGGACAAGATTCTCCCACCTGGTGTCATCTCTATTTTACAGTGAATCATAAACACATAGTTAGGATGTGGTTGAAACGTGAAATTGACTCTTCTTTTAACAAAGATTCATTGTAGTTATAGAAAGCGTTTTATCTGGTTTATTCAAAAATTGAATTATTGAATTCAGAACTGACGTTAACCTTTCTTACTCACTCCCTTAACGAAGCTCAGCTACTTGATCATTTCAAACTTGCACGTGCAAGAAAGATAGAAACACGTTGCCATTCGTATAAAAACATCCAGTATTTTCCAAACAATTGTTTAAGCTTCTCAATATTCAAATTGAACATTTCTTTCTCAAGAAAAAGAACCTACCGCGTTTGTTTCATTAACAAATCTAACACGTTCTTTGTAACTGCAGGATCTACAGAGTTCGTTACCATGGAGACGGATACGCCCCCAACAGAGAAACGAAGAAGCAGGAAGCAGAAGCTGCGGAGTGTCCTGATGGACAACCTGCTGGTCATCCTCCTCATCCTGGCTGTCGCCATCGGTGTCGGCATGGGCTTCGCTCTCAGGACAGTCTGGTCTCCTGACGACAAGCGCAAGATCTTCTACCTGGCGTTCCCTGGCCAGCTCCTGATGAACATGCTAAAGTGCCTCATCCTCCCTCTCATCGTGTCCAGTCTCATCACCGGCATGGCTGTGCTTGACAAGAGTGTGAGCGGGAAGTTGGGCGGCGCCGCTGTCGTGTACTACCTCACCACGACGTTGTTGGCCGTCGTTCTCGGCATCATTCTCGTGCTGTCCATTCAGCCTGGTTTCAAGGGAGGTAACACCGTCATTCAGCGAACTGGGACAGCCAAGATCTCGCAGCCCATTGAGTCCCTACTGGATCTCATACGGTAAGTATTTCTTATCTACCAATAATTTCACAGGGCCTTTTTCCGCCATATGCATTCCTTTGACCACTGATAAATACTTATCATTATTTTCTCGGAAAGGAGGAACAAAAAATACTAACAGCTCATTTCAGGATGTCCAGCGCATGATGTATCCCTATTGTGCATGTCACCAACTGTTAGTGGCATGTCCCGTCAAATACAGGCGAACAATTAGCAATCCACCGAGTGACTGGACCTCATCCCCAGATCCAGCAAGTGGACACTGACTATAAGCAACCAAGTATATATAGTTGATATGGACAGACAGGCAGGCAGATTCTAAATACTAGTGTACATAAATTAGTCAAAACCTATAATTCTAATCAGGAACCCTGACGTCATGTGGAACGTATAGTGGAATCAAAAGCATCTGGCTTTCGGGATGCCGTCTACTTTTCACCTGTATAATTATGTCTAGAGGTCTCTCTTGAAGTGACCAGTGAAGATCCGGGTTAGAATTTAGTGGTCTTAAGCAATCCATGCTTGTCGAAAGAGGCGAGTAACGGGATCGGGGGTTAGGTTCGCTGATTTGATTGACACATGTCATCGGTTCCCAATTGCGCAGATCGATGCTCATGCTGTGGATCACCGGATTGTCTGGTCCAGACCCGATTATTTACAGGCCGCCGCCATATAGCTGGACTATTGCTGAGTGCGGCGTAAAACAAGCAAGCAAGCAACCAACTCTCTGGAAGTGTGCCGCATGAGATGCAATCAATGTGATGTATCCTGCGTACAGACGTTAACTACCTGTAACCTGAAGACAAGCTTTTACCACCTGTATCCTGCGTAGAGGTTTTTACTACCTGTAATATGAGTACAGGCTTTCACTACCTGTAACCTGCGTACAGGCTTTTACTACCCGTAACCTGCGTTCAGGCTTTTACCATCTGTAACGAGCGTACAGACATTTAGTCGCTGTGATTCACGCACACATACATATAGTTCCTGTAACCTTGCATAGATATACATGCAGTACTGTAACGTGCCTACAGGCGTTCAGCCGCTGTGACCTGCGTACAGTCATTTGGCATGCATGCAATGTAGAACTAAATGTACTACACTGTTCTATAGCGAGATTACGATGTCCCAGCTCAAGGAATCAGGTTCTGTTTGGGCTGTAACCGAGAAATAGAACGGAGCATGCAACTGGAAGTACTGTAATCGGGGAACTTTTCAGACATCGTTGATGACTTTTAAACCAATGATAACGTAAAATGTGCTTTTATACTCAAATAAAGGGTGGAACAGTACTGATAGTATCATTGACCATGTCTACGTACTATGAGACACAAAACGGCTGTGATGCGTTAAAAATGGCGTTCAAGTTATGAATCCTAATTTGCTCTGACCACAGACCGTAGAGTCAATAAGTAGTGTCCAATGATATCAGCTTTGATGTAGAGCTTTCTGGAATGTCCTCGGAATGTCACAGCAATGAAACACCTCTGTCTCCATCCCGACATTCTTGACCATCAGTCCAAAACGCGATGATCAGATAGTGCTGACTTACTGTCATCCACCAGTTCAAGGTGTACATAAGCCGCCCTCCAGAGAAGAAAAGTTCTGTCATGCGATGAGAACTGTGCTGATACTGGATAGCTGCAAAACCTGTCCTACAAAAGAGCACATTTCAAGTTATTTTTCTTCAAAGTGTCTTATGTTTTGGAAGCGTATTTTGGAAATGTATCAGTGTCACGGTCTAACATGTTTAACAGTCTAAATGTGTAAAAGATATGTACATCTACGTGGAGGATACCTTACTTCTACGTAGAAGAAACTTTCATCTACGTACATGATAGTAATATTTACGTACATGATATTATAAATCTATTTATAAAGTAACTTCTATACACATGGAAAAATGTATCGCAACATCCTATATGTTTCATGGCGTCACAGCTAAGGAACTTCAACCTCAGTTGAACTTACTATCTGGATCTGGTCCTCAAGGAATAATTAAATGGCCAATCAGAAGGCAAAAAGAGCGAAAATTTGCAGTATTTCAGAGACATGGCTAAAAGTTGACTCATTTTGTAGTGCAGATAAATATGGTCGTAGGATGTTAACAAGTAATTTTCAAGAATTTGGTTTACAATCCTTAAAACATCATATAAATATCAATACCCGAGCACAATGTCAGTATCTGGGGTAACCTCCGCCATCTGCAATAACATCCCTCACCCTCCTCTTCAATTATTGTATAAGACGTTGAATTTGACGTTTAGGTACTGCGTTCCATTCATGATGGAGCGCTTGTTCCAATGCATGAAGAGCTTGTTCTGGAAGATCTCTGACGTATTCTGCGACCCATTCTGCTCTATGGGATTGAAATCTGGACTCCTGGCCGGCCAAGTCAGAGCTGCTGCCGCCTTCTGACTTACGAAATTACAAACGTCACCTGCACAATATGGCCTAGTATTGTCTTCCATGAAGACTGCCCTGTGTTCAGCGGATGGCCATCGAAATGTGGTACAACAACCCTGTTTAGGACGTCAGCGACGTACCGTTGTCCAGTCAAATTCTTTCTGAACGTCAAGCGAGAAGCACTGCACAACATCAAGGAGCCACAGGGTATTCCGTTAAGCATATGCAGTTTTTCTGCAGCACCAAACCCGAGCTCGGCCATCAGCCGAAGCAAAAGAAATCGACGACGTCAAATTCCCGTGACACCCAGCTTGACACCTATCTTGTCGTGCTGCTGTGTGTTCTGGGGACAACAATGGACGTCTGATAGGTCGTCGGACCGCTCTGTTGGACAAGCGTCTATGTAGAATATAAGAATATTATTCATTTATTTAGGAAAATGGCCCACGCTTTCATGACAACCCTCAATAGACAGATTTTACAACATACAATAAACCTACCACAATACACATTCTGTTCAGCTGACAATCTTTACAAACTGTGTATACATTTGTTATCATTAATTTGAGCACAGTCATCCTTTCGTGTACACTGACCTACTCTACTTTCCTTTAAATATGAATCAATAGCCCGCCCATGTTCAACAACAGAAACCTTCAAGAAAAGCCCCCGGATTACTTTAGAAACTGTATGTATAGGGCGGGCGGGTGCACGGAACAGTACACACACCAGTACATGACGCCATATACAGCAGTGTTGGCGTCCAGGGATGCCTTGGTACCTGACAATGCGAAGATGCGAACACACAAAGACACCGTCGTGTTGTATAGGTACTTCAATATATACAGGGTGGCTGAGCCTAAGCACGAAGGATTAATTGTATTCAATTCACAGTTTGCATGTATCAAATGCAATGTAACTATCAATGCTTACTGGTTATATTTAAACCTAATGCACAACCTGAAGCACATTTGTTCAGGTGACTAGTTGTTTTCTCGTGAGGCTCGCTACCGCGCTGTCATTAAGTATCGCTGAAAGGGTTAACTCAACGGCCACCCATGTGGGCATTGTACCAGCGTTAGGGGATGATGCTCCTCCAGTGGAGGATGGGGAGGTTGCGTTAAAACGGGGAAGGGATGCTACGAGGATGACCTAAGAGAAGGATGGCGTCAGCTACAACTACTTGGGAAGATCTGATGAATTACATGATGTGATTATGAATCATCGACGACTCAGCAAACATCACGCATCCAATACAGTAGACAGCTTTCTAGAGAGAGCTGAAAACAGTCTGATGATTAAACTGGGCATTGTACCAAAGGTTTCGTTTCAAATCTGATGATTAAACTGGGCATTGTACCAAAGGTTTCGTTTCGAGTCTGATGATTAAACTGGGCATTGTACCAAAGGTTTTGTTTCGGGTCTGATGATTAAACTGGGCATTGTACCAAAGGTTTCGTTTCAAATCTGATGATTAAACTGGGCATTGTATCAAAGGTTTTGTTTCGAGTCTGAAGATTAAACTGGGCATTGTACCAAAGGTTTTGTTTCAAATCTGATGATTAAACTGGGCATTGTACCAAAGGTTTTGTTTCGAGTCTGAAGATTAAACTGGGCATTGTACCAAAGGTTTTGTTTCGAGTCTGATGATTAAACTGGGCATTGTACCAAAGGTTTTGTTTCAAGTCTGAAGATTAAACTGGGCATTGTATCAAAGGTTTCGTTTCGAATCTGATGATTAAACTGGGCATTGTACCAAAGGTTTTGTTTCAAGTCTGATGATTAAACTGGGCATTGTACCAAAGGTTTTGTTTCAAGTCTGATGATTAAACTGAGCATTGTACCAAAGGTTTTGTATCGAGTCTGATGATTAAACTGGGCATTGTACCAAAGGTTTTGTTTCGAGTCTGATGATTAAACTGGGCATTGTACCAAAGGTTTTGTTTCAAGTCTGAAGATTAAACTGGGCATTGTACCAAAGGTTTTGTTTCGAGTCTGATGATTAAACTGGGCATTGTACCAAAGGTTTTGTTTCAAGTCTGATGATTTAACTTGGCATTGTACCAAAGGTTTTGTTTCAAGTCTGAAGATTTAACTGGGCATTGTACCAAAGGTTTTGTTTCAGGTCTGATGATTAAACTGGGCATTGTACCAAAGGTTTTGTTTCGAGTCTGATGATTAAACTGGGCATTGTACCAAAGGTTTCGTTTCGAGTCTGATGATTAAACTGGGCATTGTACCAAAGGTTTCGTTTCGAGTCTGAAGATTAAACTGGGCATTGTACCAAAGGTTTCAGCGAAGTTGTGTTCCAAGGTTTCCGACATCTTGGCCAGAAACACAGCAGGTTCATAACATCTTGTCAGAATTTTACGTCGTTTAGAAACGGAACCATCCGATATAGTTTGAATTGTTATGAAGCATGGGTGTGTTCTCGGTTCCCTGACAAAGAGTCAAAGCAGGAGAAACATTGAACGTCTCTTCTAAAGAAGGCAGAGTCTGTCACATTAATTGATGGGTTCGGTTTCCTGGAATTCCAAAGGAATGCCAACACGAGCTAACCTCTGAAATGCCAGACCATTTATGGCCAAAATTAGACTCAGCATACCTGTGTTAGAATATTGAGGCTACACATAGCTAATTTCCTCGATATTGCTGGAATATTGCTGAAAGTAAAAAACACAACTTACTCATAGTCAATGTGACATGTTTAAATTATCACCATGAGTAAGTGAGTGAATCGGGTTTTACGCCGCTTTTAGCAATATTCCAGCAATATCCCAGCGGGGGACACCAGAAATTGGCTTCACACATTGTACCTTTATGGGGAATCGAACCCGGGCCTTCAGTGTGACGAGCGAACGCTTTAACCTCTAGGCTACCCCTCCGCCCCCTTATCACCATGAGGCGACGTGACCCTTATGCTGATACTGAGTTGTTTGACTTGTACAACAAGCCCAATGACACAGGTATTGCTTACACGTCTCTTTCAAGTACAATGTGTTAAGAACCGTTGAGCGAACTTCCTGCTACTGGCTGTGTGACCTCGAAATGTTAATGAGAACCCTGGTTACTGGTGTGTTTGCCTAATATCTCCAGTCCCTCGTCTGCATACATATAAAACACGGAAACTACAGCTCATTAACGTGCTAGTGTCACGTTTTATTGTTCCTCGTTTTCCAATAACGACATTCCACTATATGCCAATGAGGGGACATTCGAACGCAGACAATTGAGCTCGCCGGGACTATACATCCATGTGAGTTTATCACTTAACGCAAGGTCCACCATTGTCGTACGTTCACCCACAATCCGAACGGGTTTTACGCTGAAGATATTCTTTGCTGATCACAAGTCCAACCAATCATATCACTACTTAGTTTTAAGGGGACTGTGAGGTAGTCCAGCTGTGAAAGCGTTCGCTCGTCACGTCTAAGTCCCAGGTTCGATTTCCCACATGGGTTACCGCACAATGCGTGAAGAACATTTCTGGTGTCCCCGTCGTGATATTGCTGGAATGATGTTAAAAACGGCGTAAAACCGTACTCATACCGGCATATTCCTGCGCTCGGGCGTCTCACAAAAGGCGATGTCCATGGTTACAATATGCGTTTCCCCTTAAAACAACACCTCACTCACTCCTGATTTTGAAAATAATTACAAAAACATTTCAAGATCTCAACATACTTCTTTGAGGATATCTTTGCAGTGAACATTGAGAATAACATTTTATGAAAATAGCCCCAAAAATATTCATCATTCCTGACGGTTTGTAAATAAAATATTTAAGCCTTACAACTTTTAACAGGATGGTGATACATTTCGTGTGGACAAACCTTTAATGTGTTGGGCTGATTTCGTTAAAGATTTCATAAAACGTCACCTTGCTATACTGTACAAGGGAAGATCCGGGTTAGAATTGATCTTTCCGTAACCCATGCTTGTCGTTAGAGGCGACTAACGGGTTCGGGTGGTCAGGCTCGTTGTCGATCACTGGATTGTCTGGTCCAGACTGGATTTTTACAGATCGTTGCTGATTGCGGCATTAAACAACAAACCAGCCAACCTTGCCATACCGACATGTTACATACATGAGCTGAAACTATTACCAAGCACGTGTTATGTAGACGTATATTTTCAACACGTGCAACGACAGAATTTCGTTTTTAAAAACATTTACTGCAGTACCCATATTGACAGCTTGTGCTTTGATTAGATTATCTATAATATTCTATGAACCAGAGTTTCATCTTACCCAATAATTAAACTTAACATAGGTGTGACCACACCAGTATATCGAATATCACTACTAATATCGGTTAACGTTTTTGTTCTATTTTTCAGGAACTGTTTTCCAAGCAACATTGTCACGGCAACTTTCGAACGGGTAAGAAACACTTTTGAGCTCTAACTGAGGAAAATCACGATTCAAAAGTATCGTTTACCTTCATATACTTCTGGGTTTGAATTTCAATTGTATTAAAATTGATTTTCTGGGTATGTTTTCCTGGTAATTTTCAATGGGGCTACAAACAGACTACGCCAGTGCTTGAAGTCAACAGGAAATAACGGGTTCAGCGATTAAATCGAACTGCATTCTTAAAGACGTTTCTTTCGCGTGTTTAGGGTCAAAGTCAAAGCCCCACAAACTAATAGATCCTTAAACTGATATCATATTTTACGAAATGATAGGTTGGCGTCCACGTAAACTGTTATCTCAGTGTTAACGTGGGATTTCATTTCTCTGTCACTGTGGGGAAGGGAAGTTGCGGTTTGAAGCGATCGCTTGTCACACCTGAATCCCTGTTGGTACAAAATGTACATCGTGATGTTGTGGAATATTACTCTACTTCGTTAAGGTATTAGGAGATTCGTTTCCCATGTCCCATATGTACGCAAGAGTTATCTCCCTTAAATTATAAGCATTTCGCTAAGAACGCTTCCTTTACCACGAGCCAAAGGTTGAACGAAGTTCAAGAATATATAGTTTAAAAAGTATTAATATACAGTACATATGGTATATTTAACGTAGAGATGATAATGAGAACGATTATAATTATTGTAGTAGTAGTACTTACTTTCAAAGTCATTAAACATAGCTTTGTTAAGACACATTATTCTATCAACACTCATTTCAGTGTTGTTAGTCTACTTATTTCTTAAAAAGCTACCTCAGTGGGTGCCACTTTCTCACCACTCTCTTTCTTCGACCGCCTCCGTGGTGTAGTGGTTAGAGCGTCCGCCCGGAGAGCGGAAGATCGCGGGTTCGATCCCCGACCGTGTCATACCAAAAGATGTTAAAATATGGTACTTGTTGGTCCCTGCCTGGCGCTCGGCATTAATGGGTACAACAAGGACTGGTCGACTCGGAGTCAGTATAATGTGTCTGAGTGGGGTATTCATGCTTCAATGCGACATGGTATCTCAGTGGGCTAGCACTATAAAACCAGGTTCAGTCTGGGCTAGTACAAGCAGCCGCACATCCACATACACACACACGCATGCACGTCGTCATATGAGCGAAATATTCTCAAGCACGACGAAAAACTCAATTTCACCTCACCTCACCTACTGACTAACTGACTGGGTTTGGTTTTACGCCGCTTTTAGCAATATTCCAGCAACATCACGGCGGGGGACACCTGAAATGGGCTTCACACATTGTAGCCATGTGGGGATTCGAACCTGGGTCTTCGGCGTGACGAGCCAACGCTTTGACCACTAGGCTACCCCACCTCACCTACGTCAATGAGCCTCTAGACACAGCCTGTTGCGGTGTCAAGCTCAGGTTGATGTGGACAAGGTTTTACTCGGAATAGCAATTCGCTTTTCGAAACCGATCAAAGCGGCGTCACACCCAACTCACTCACCATTTGGTGTTCCTATGACCCCCGTCACTTTGTACGAACACAGACCATCCGTTGATTCTCAAACACACCGACTCAAAAGGTTCGACTCGTTCAAACCCTATTTACTTTTCAAGTCAATTCTTAAGATGAAAAAATATTAAAACATACATAATGACCATTTTCAGGGCGAAACCGTCATCAATTTGGTGGAGAAGAAACTCTCTGCCGTTACGACGGTTGCCCCTGACAACATGACAACGATGAGTACAACAGTCACAACATCGACAATGGCACCTGATCGTGAGTTCACTCTTTGTTGAACAATGTAGATGATTTGTTGATGTCTAATGTATAATTAGCATTATTACATGAACACCCCTCACTAATAATTATAGGCCAACAAACGCACATTTCTTCCGGAATATAAAAGTAACATTTCTGTTTATACGTGCACCCTTCTTTCCCCCTGAAATCTGTACAGACTAAAGATACAAACTAGTATTAAAATTGTTATAAAATGCAATGATGACATGGTTTTGTTTCAGCTGCCAGGAAGTACATGGAGAAATAGAACCTAGAAATGGTATAAGCCTACCATCATTAACAATATTCATGACTGTGTGTTTAATGCTTCGTATCGAGAACGTTCATTCGCCCAGCTAAAGTGATGTGCAAGCTGAGTGATGTTTGTCAGTCTACAACTCAGTGTGGCTTTCAGTTTCTGCAATCAGTTATTTTCGAACATCCCCTACTGTTTTGAGAAAACTTATTTGTTGTGTGAAAGCTTGGACTTTGCCGGCCTGGGTTTGCAAACTAATGTGTGAAGCTTCCTTTTGAGTGTAACCACTTAAAACCTTGAAACAAAAGGGAAACTGTAGTTTTCTTGTACACCAAAGGGAGACAACTCTGTAGAGCAAATTGTAACTGCAGCAGTTTAGATGAAGATACATGTTACATGCTCCTTTTGCTAAAGCTGCAGAAATTCTGTAAAGGAATGATATATTTAATCCTTGTATACAGAATTAATGTAATTATTCACATACATAATTTCCTTCATTATAGTGGGATCAATCAATTCACCTTTATTCACATTCATTATCCCAGTGACTTATTAAGGGAGTGACGTTCTAAACTAGGGTATTAGCATTTCTTCACAGATGTTTGTTTACTGATGGAATGAGTATGTGAGAGATGCACGTCTGAAACAATGACAAAGAGCAGTGGCCCACAGCTGCCCATAGACAGATCCAGGAATATTCAAGGGATTGGTGTGTGTGAGAGAGAGAGAGAGAGAGAGAGAGAGAGAGAGAGAGAGAGAGAGAGAGAGAGAGAGAGAGAGAGAGAGAGAGAGAGAGAGAGAGAGATGGGGTATCCTCAACACAACTACAACAACACACACGCACCAGTTTCTCATTTCAACTAATATATAACTTTTGTGATTATTCCACTTGTAAGGCTTCTGAAATCACAAAAACAGCTGCACGTTACAAGTCACAGTATTTTAAGCAGAATTACGTTAATAATATGTTTACTTTTTTTCTTTCGCTTTTTTTTCAGGTATACATACAAGTTGACGTATATTATGTAAAAGTATTAGTTCCATGCACACATGTAAGGTCTCAATAAATAATCAATAATACTTTAGTATAATTATACAGTGTCAACATTGTTACATATACATCGAAATAATTTACCTATTCAACGGTTCTAATAGCATGTGTAGGATGGACCATAGTTTTAGAAAGTAGGCTTTCTGGTCACGATTAATATATACATATTTTGTGGTATTATAATATTGTATGATTTGTCTATTGATGTATGAAATATTTGGAATGAAACTTTTCTTACTACAGTTGTATATGGTATTCTTGACTGAAATAATTATCTCATTTAGTGCATAGTTATGTTTTCCTTTGTAAAACTCAATTCTACGTCTACAGTTCTGAGCCATAATTTTATTTCACGCCATATGTTTTTCACCTTGTCACACTCCCAGAAGATATGATAAATTGTTTCGTCATAATCGTTGCAAAAGGTACATTTAGGGCTATCCACATAGTTTATTTTGTAGAGGAAATGTCTGATTGGCAATATTCTGTGAATGGTTCTGTACTGCAACCATCTTAATTCGGTACTTGGAGTACATTTATTTGCGATCGAGTTGAAACATTTCCAGTCAAAGTTCGAGTAGTGTGAACCAGTGGCGTGTTCCCACTTATCATAACAAGGGAGTTTAACAAACCGTGAATCAGCTAGCATATGTATACTTTCTGATGTCCAAGGCGATTGTTTGTACATTTCATTATAAACGGATACACAGGATTACATAATTTACACCCGGATAAAGTAATACCTATTGAATTTGCATAGCATACAACTGCTCGTTTAACGCCCTCATATTTAAGAAAGTCTGTATCTAGGGTGTATAAGGCACAAACTTCTTCCTTAGAATAAAATCTGCCGTTTTCATTCAATAAATCGTTTACGAATATTATACCTTGTTTTTCCGAGCTTCTGTAACAGATAGTCTTATTTCCAACTTTTATGTTATCATTATTCCAAATACTTTGGGAGAGAAGGTCACACTCAGTTTTGACATGTCCTTTGTATCTACAAACAACATTAGACCAATCTTTAAAGACTTCTATCCAAAAAGGGTTTGAAATGGCAGGAATTACTCTATTTTCAATATATGTTTTATCTGATATCCACAATAAATTCTTACTGTGTAATCTATGCATTAAATCTCTCTACCCATTTCAAATTTTGCGAAGATATAACATTTTTAATCATTGGAATTTCAAGTCCCCCATGTTCCGGATTTAGAACAACAGTATCTCTTTTAACTTTATCTGGCTTGTTTCGCCATATAAATCTAAAACATTGTTTTTGGAAATTGTCTGTAACAGATTCAGGTGGGCGGGGAAGGGCAGAAAACAGGTGGTTTAACTTGTGCAGGAGGAGGGATTTTAAAACTGTGATTCTTCCATAAGGTGTAGGATTTCTTGCTAACCAGATGTTCATTAAGTGTTTTATTTGTAGGAACTTTTTTTTATAATTCAGTTGGCTTATGTTATCCATATTAATATCGAAATTTATTCCTAACAGTTTGAAATCCGTCTGAGACCAGTCAAATTTCCACTCCTTACATAGTTTAATACGAGATCGTTTCTTGGATCCTATCCATATTAATCTTGTTTTCTCTATATTAACCTTTAGACCAGAAAAGCGTGCGAAAAAAATTATGTTTACTGGTTGCTTCAGCACTTAAATCAAAGGTACAGAACTATATCGAATACACAAAGTACAGAAATGCCCAATTAGAATGATTCTCAGATGAGATTGTGTTCATATTGAATGGCTCATACCATTATCTGCTCTACTAGGTGTTTTAGGTGACAGAGTATAACCTAACTGAATTTGGACATAGTATCCACTTGAACATTGTCCAGCAACTTGGTAGCAAGTACATTACTGCCTGTGATAAATCCTTGCTCTCTTGGGGTACTTCTACAATAATGACCATTTTCTGCTTCAGAGAGGTGGGGTCCATAAAACAAATTCTTGGAAAAAATTGAAAATGGTCCTCCCTTTCTGAGCCATATAGCCCCTGGCTATATACATCCAAGACCATGCTAATACAATTGTTAAACTGGCACATTAATATTCTGGTTTTAATTCTGGACTCATCTCATTAGTTTGTCAGCAGTCTGTTCCACGTTGGTTTCAGTAAAATGATAATTATCTCAGAACTGCATTACTTTGGGTTTCCTCCCACTTCAATATTGTATGAATGAAATAATTAAAATACTGATGATGATGATGATTTGGCCATTTTATGTGCGCTTTCCTACATGATGTATCAAGTTCGGTTAAATCACTCACTCACTCAACTATTCAAAGCAATCTGAATCATGGATGCTTACTATTGTCACAACATTTAAAAGCAAAAATTGCATGATTTTTTTACAATTATGGTATATTTAATTTCCCAATATTTCAGCCATCTTCATCGAGACCCCCAAGCTCCAGATGGGGGGTGGCACCAATGTCCTTGGAATAGTCGTGTTCTCCATTGCCCTGGGCTGTGTCATCAACTACCTAGGGGACAAGGGAGAACCCCTCAAGAACTTCTTCGAGTCCCTCAACGCAGCCACCATGATCTTGGTCAAGTTGGTCATCTGGTCAGTGCCTACATATCCTAACCCTTTATTGTGCAATAACAATTGTGCAGTCAAACACTGTTAAATATTGTCTCGATGGTTGTCTTTGCGGAATGGAGCCAAGATCTGTAGTTATTCTTTCGATGTTCGAAAATGTCACTATTCAGAGCTGTCAACACCTAATGGTACAAAGAAGTGGGACTAAATCTTAAGCTTGGGTCAATAAGTGCTGGAAGGGGTCACAGAGAAAAGACCCACCAGCCGAAATTCCTTTTACAATTTAAAAGGTGTATTTTAAGGTATCTGGCAGTAATATTTTCCAGAATGTGTGTCATATCCAAAAGACAAGAATAAAGACATAAATACCATGTCTCCCAGAAAATGTATTTGCACTGAGAAATACATGTATACGAAAAATTTACGAGTATGTCATATTTTCCTGATCAACATTCCTGAGATACCTTCTATCAGCCATATACAGAAATGCATTGCTTTGAGCATGCGCCTTGTGGATGGATAAAGTGCTTTATAAATACTCATCATTATTATCATCATCATTAATACAGTCAGATTCTATTGTTTCATGATGTAATGACTGTGGACGAGAACATTCTGAATGTACAACATTCCAACATTTCGCAATATATATTTTGGGGTGAAAATAATTTTTAAGCACGTGAGACTTAATTTCTTAGACATGAGAGTGTGATTTTTAATCAAAAGATGCGAGTCTGAGAGTTGATAGGTTTGCAGGATTTTGCATCCACATATCATGAATGAGTACATCTATTTTCAAATATAGCTACGTTTGTTTCTGATATTTCATGTAAAATCCTTGACAGTAGTCAATGTTACAAGTGGATGATGGTGATTTTGAATTTATGTCATGTCCAGGAAGTGACAAATAGTACTTAACTGTCATGTATATTAATTTAAACCAAAATGAAATACCAAAATCAATACAGAATAAACATAACTTCGACATTTTGTACTATAAGCTGAAACTCCATCAGTAAAGATGGAAGCATTTCCAGGGAAACTATTCAGATTAACCAGATGTTCATATTAATAAGGTGAATGTTTTCACAGCAATCCAACTTGTGGTGTGATGTCTAGATTAATAGGATTCGTACTAACTATTTTGCTCTTTACAGGTGACCTGTGAAGATCCGGGTTAGAATTGATCTTCAGCAACCCATGCTTGTCGTAAGAGGCGACTAACGGGATGGGTGGTCAGGCTCGCTGACTTGGTTGACACATGTCATCGGTTCCCAATTGCATAGATTGATGCTCATGATGTTGATCACTGGATTGTCTGGTTCAGACTCGATTATTTACAGACCGCCGCCATATAGCTGGAATATTGCTCAGTGCGGCGTAAAACTAAACTCACTCACTCACTCTCTTTACAGGTTACAGCGAAGCGTATAGTTATTGACATATTTCAAAGCAATGTTTCTACCCATCTCTATGAAGAATCCTTGTGAATACAAAAGTTGCCAATTTGAATCTACTTCCTCCACAGGTATTCGCCAATAGGTATCATGTTCCTGATTGCGACCAAGTTTATCGAGATGGAGAACCCCAGCCGTGTGTTTGAACAGCTGATGTACTACTTCCTGACTGTCCTGGCCGGTCTTGCCATACATGGCCTCATCTTCCTCCCCCTCATCTTCTTCATCGCAACCAGGAAGAACCCCTACCTCTTCCTCTTCCGCCAAATGAAGGCCATCATCACAGCATGGGGAACAGCATCAAGGTGAAGGTCATCTCCATGGAAACACATCCTTGACTATACAGTGTGACATATCTCCATCCAATGCAGATGTTTGGCAGATACTTGAATGCCTGAGCATGGGCTGCATTTAGACTTACGCCAACGTCTGGGACTTAAGTACCCAACCAGGGGAGATAACTCATATCTTCACTTGTATAACATGCATGTTGCAGATATTTGTAGAGGATGATATAATAGTATTTGTATGCATTTTGGCTCTAAACAGAACGAAAACGAAAACATATTTTTTAAAAATCACAAAATGTTGATTGTGTAACATGTTACCTGGGTATCGGATTGGGTTTTGAGACAGTTGTACTTGTGGCCATTATTTGCTACCTGCAAAATCCATATTCTAAATAACCAAGATGCATTTCCCGTTTTGGAAGTGTCACAACCTTTACTGATCATTTCTAATTCATCACAGATATTTACTCCCCATGAGAGTAACATGACTGCATGGCCATTTTGTGTCATGCCATGACAGCACTACTGCATGCATGACAGAGCTGAATCTTGGGTTTTCAATATGAAGGTTCTTATCACAGCCAATGCCACAGTTAACATGTAAGGCGTCCCACTTGTTCAAGTTATAGAAAAATGCTTCTAAAGACATATTATTCTTTTTTCTTCTTTTTCCCCCCAAATTTTTATGCCTGTAAAGATATTACATAGTCAAGATATGTATGTATTATACATGACAAAGGTAAAAGTATAAATAATTCTTTCACACATGCAAACACACCAACAAGTGAATAAGTCATGAGTTTTCATTAACTATATTTTCATACATTACCAATTTCCTTTGAAGGAGGGGTGGTGAGGTAGCCTAGTGGTTAAAGCGTTTGCTCGTCACGCTGAAGACCTGGGTTTATTCCCCACATGGGTACAATGTGTGAAGCCCATTTCTGGTGTCCCCTGCCGTAATATTGCTGGAATATTGCTAAAGGCGGCGTAAAACTAAACTCACTCACTTACTCCTTTCAAAGTCTTTAAACATAGCTTTGTTGAGACACATTATTCCATCAACTCTCATTTCAGTGTTGTAAGTCTACTTATTTCATAAACAGCTACCTCAGTGGGTGCCACTTTCTCACCACTCTCTTTCTCCGACCGCCTCCGTGGTGTAGTGGTTAGAGCGTCCGCCCGGAGAGCGGAAGGTCGCGGGTTCGATCCCCGACCGCGTCATACCAAAAGACGTTAAAATATGGTACATGTTGGTCCCTGCCTGGCGCTCGGCATTAATGGGTACAACAAGGACTGGTCGGCTCGGAGTCAGTATAATGTGTCTGAGTGGGGTATTCATGCTTCACTGCGGCATGGTATCTCATTGTCTAGCACTATAAAACCAGCTTAAGTCTGGGCTAGTACAAGCAGCCACACATACACATACACACGCATGCACGTCGTCATATGAGCGAAATATTCTCAAGCACGACGTTAAACCCACTTTCACCTCACCTCACCTCACCTTTCTCCACTTCCAGCTCTGCCACTCTGCCCATCACAATGGAGTGTCTTGTGAATAGGAACAAGGTTCACAGCAATATTGTTCGCTTCGTCGCCCCTGTCGGTGCCACCATCAACATGGACGGCACTGCTCTGTACGAAGCCGTGGCAGCCATATTCATCGCTCAGTACAACGGCCGGATCCTCACAGTTGCAGAAGTCATTATCATCAGGTATACATAGAACTAAAACAGGCTCATTCTTATTTTCTGTTATGTAATAATCAGCAAATAAGTTGGTTGGTTGGTTTGTTGTTTAACGCTGCACTTAGCAATATTCCAGCTATATGGCAGCGGTCTGTAAATAATCGAGTCTGGACCAGACAATCCAGTGATCAACAGAATGAACATCTATCTATGCAATTGGGATACGATGACATGTGATAAATTCTTACCCGCATCTTCACGGGTGACCAGCAAATAAGATATTTTGAGATAGTCTATGATAATTTATATCAATTCATGATATAAACAAACTATAAATGAACAACACAGTGGAGGAGACAATCACGTGTCTCATGTCATGACGAAAGAGGTCATCAAGGGCAGGTAACTCTTAGTGGTAAACATTTCAAAGGCAGGAAATTAGTCAAAGAGTCTTACTGGCAAACAAGGATAAGTTGGACCGGTGCAGAGAACGTGTTTACGAGAAGTAGGCGGTGCACGGCATTGAGTAATCCATTTGGTTTGTGAAAGGTAGAGCAGATGTAGGCTAGTGCATGTGCATTGCATGACGATGAAATTGATTCCACGTGTAGCTGCACACGCCTTGCTCATAAGACTTTCACGTCGGTGTAGCAAGTCGCACTACACTTGATCGCGGGACAACCTGGGGCCCCTTCGCTAACAATGGCAAGCGCCAGTGGGCGGCACTCATACATGCTAATACGGGTCAACTGTCAGGTCGGTGCTCAACTTATCCTTGTTTGCCAGTAGTTAGATTTGTCAGACAAACAGTTGAGGGGAAATGTTTTTTCGCTTTATTAAACAATATTTTAACACTTTTGATCCAAATCATTTCATTTTGAAAAAATGTATTTGAGATATGTAACCAAATGTGTTATTTTACAGTTTAACAGCCACAGCTGCTGCAATTGGTGCTGCAGGTGTTCCTCAGGCAGGTCTGGTTACCATGGTGATAGTGCTCACAGCCGTCAATCTGCCCACCAATGACGTCACACTCATTCTTGCTATTGACTGGTTCTTGTAAGTTGTACAGTTGAAATATAAACTAAACACGTGCAGTAACAAAAATTCTATTTCATATTCATAATGATTTAAGGGGACAAATTATTACTCTTGCTCTGTCTGCACAAACATGTCCTTGCAGATTTCAGTCACACTGAAATCAGACCCTTGTTCATGCTGACTCTAGAAAATGTCATCATATAAGGACATACGAGATGTGAAACATACTTTCATTGAGCATTCTCTAATCATACAAATCAGGGTGTTCTGACAAGACGCTCCATCAAAATCAGCGTCCATCACGTTAACTTCTGAAATCAAAAGATTTTCCAGTTATGTCATACAATCTCAGACCTCTGTTAGAAGATTCAGAGACTTTCTTTGTTCAGTTTTCAAATTTTGAATTTTGAATCGAAATTTTGTATGGAACTGAAGTTGTCTGTTTGAAACTATTACCTAATGTCAACTCAATCTGGGTGATTTCATTGGTTGGTCAAAGTTAGAGGAAGGTCATTCTGACTTGACCTTGAATGATGTATGCAGGAGAAGCAAGAAGTAAGATCTGATTTTAATGAGATTTTTAGACTTTACCAAAACCTTATGAGAACCCTCTTCTCAGACACTGTAAACACAATGGTTATGCAGTATGTTCATGTTGGATAAAGATAAAAACCTTTATACAATAAATTGTTAAAACTGTTAACTCCGCAAATGTCTGAGAATCCTATTCTGAAATCGGGGTTCTGCCAAATGTTAAAAGTTAAGACCAGTGCTGCTTTTCATAGTGTTACGACTATCGTATCTCCCATACTTTAGCATAGAGTTACGATAGTCGTAGCCTTAAGATCGCTTTGTGAAACAGGGCCCTGTATCCACTGGAGCTTTCCTCCTACAATAAGCTGACCATCCTCGATAATCTCCAGGGTATACGCTACGATCACTCTCCACTATACCCTGGATGCGGTCGCAGTCGCGAAGGTTTCTTCGCAGTACCACTCAGATTTTTGGAGAAATTAATACAGACAAATTGACAGATCTGAAACTTTCAAAAAATATATAAAAGAACTCCTTCTACATCTTTCAGAGTACGCTCTGCATCAATTGTGTTGCCAAGTTTGAACGTTTAGATAATTTAAGAAGCGAAAGTGAGTTGTGATTGGTTCACTCAACTTCCCAGTGTAGACACCTGATTGGATAAAAAGCCAGCCAAGGGAGGTTATAAAATCATGAGGCCAAGCCGTGGATGCATCCAGGGTATAGTGGAGAGTGATCGTAACGTATATACTGGAGATTATCGAGGATGTAAGCTGACTATCATCAAGTAAACTACAGCTATAACAAATGTAAAGGAACCTTTAGTTCTTTATACCACAGTTCAATACATACATTTCAACCCAAAATACATCAAGTGCCTGGGACCCCCCCAAAAACGGTCTGTCAGTTCGTCTTAAGCATGTTCGTTATAAACACAGTTTTCAACTTGTTCACCCAACTCACTCACAAACTCTTACAATATTTGACACATATGACAAAAACAGTTGTTGAGAGAATATTACATGATTTCACATACTATTTTCCCAGGGACAGATTCAGAACAGCCATCAACGTGCTGGGAGACTCCTACGGGGCAGGCATCTTGGGGCATATTTTCAGAAACACATTTGCCAACATCCCAGATGACTATTCCAATGACATTACGGAAACGGAAAGCGACTTCAACGACAAGCCAGCCAACGGGGACGTCAAGGAAGTGGACCTAAACAAAATATACCCTCATATTGAAAAGCAGGGATTCAATAACCCTGGTTTTCTGGAGGACACGCGAATGTAAACAAACAACAACTCCTGGTTGTGAGGTAGCCTAATGATTAAAGTGTTCGCTCCTCACGCCAAAAAGACCTGGGTTCAATTTCTCAAGTGAGTAAAATTTGTGAAGCAAATCCCTTCTAGTAATATTGTTACTATGTTCAGTATCATCCAGTCAGAGAAATCACCCGCCTGTCTACTTTTCTTGGAAGTCAGGAGCCATATTAAGGGGATGGACCTATGTTGGGATGAGTGGTACATGATATGACTGGTGTCAGAGGATGATTTAGGGGGAAAACGGTCAAGTTCAGTAATAAGAGGACAAAGATTGAGATTTTGTACAAACTCAACATAACATATACTTTAGGAGGTATAATCTCTTTTACATGGTACATATGTAATAAATTCCATATATCCAATTTACAAACAAAATGTAACATGTAATGAACTTTTATATCCATTCTTAACTATTTCCCATATTTAGGATTCATACTGATCAGAAGGTTGTTACTAATCCTTTTTTCATTGGAAAGAAATATATCGCAAGTGATGGTGGGTTTTGGTATAAGGGAGATAACTCTACTCACTCTGCATGAAGTCAGCATTGCCTTCACTGTTCACTACTAAACCAGGGTTCAGCAATAGTGTAATATACATTAATATTAATTTGTATAAAGGTGGGGTTTTTTTTAGAATATTACCATGTTTTGTGCAAACAATCCACAAGAATGCATCATAAAATACAAATACTGAAAAATTATATACATGTATTGTGAAATGATTTTTTGTGAATTTTTGTGATGTTGTAATTTTTATGCAAAGTACTGTTTGTCAGGGAATCACTGTTCAAATCCAATGTGTTGCTTTTAGTGTAAAAGACACTTGTGATTCCAGAATTTCACAGCTAAAATGTGAATAAAAATTATTTTTCTAGTTTCATGGTCTTATTGTTTTCATTAACAGGCAGATGTTGATTACATTAATTAAAGGGGCACAGGTGGCACAGCTTTCTTATGTGCTGTAATTATCAGTGTGGAGTTCTGTCCTCAGTTAGTGGGTGAGGCTGTAGCAGGGCTGAATTCTGCATTGAGTGGTGGGTGGAACTATAGCAGGGCTGAATTCTGCATTGAGTGGTGGGTGGAAATACAGTAGGGCTGAATTCTGCATTGAGTGGTGGGTGAAATACAGTAGGGATGAATTCTGCTTTGAGTGGTGGGTGGAAATACAGTAGGGCTGAATTCTGCATTGAGTAGAGGGTGGAACTATAGCCGGGCTAAATACTGCATTGAGTGGTGGGTGGAACTATAGCAGGACTGAATTCTGCATTGAGAGGTATATGGAACTATAGCAGGGCTGAATTCTGCATTGAATGGAAGGTGGAGCTATAGCTGGGCTGACTTCTGCATTGAGTGGTGGGTGGAACTACAGTAGGGCTGAATTCTGCATTGAGTAGAGGGTGGAACTATAGCCAGGCTGACTTCTGCATTGAGTGGAAGGTGGAGCTATAGCTGGGCTGACTTCTGCATTGAGTGGTGGGTGGAACTACAGTAGGGCTGAATTCTGCATTGAGTAGAGGGTGGAACTATAGCCAGGCTGAATTCTGCATTGAGTAGAGTATGGAACTATAGCCAGGTTGAATTCTGCATTGAGTGGTAGGTGGAACTATAGCTGGGCTGAATTCTGCATTGAGTGGTGGGTGGAGCTTTAGCCAGGCTGAATTCTGCATTGAGTAGTGGGTGGAAATACAGCAGTGCTGAATTCTGCATTGAGTAGTGGGTGGAACTATAGCAGGGCTGAATTCTGCATTGAGTAGAGGGTGGAACTATAGCTGGGCTGAATTCTGCATTGAGTAGTGGGTGGAAATACAGCAGTGCTGAATTCTGCATAGAGTAGAGGGTGGAACTATAGCCGGGCTGAATTCTGCATTGAGTGGTGGGTGGAAATACAGGAGGGCTGAATTCTGCTTTGAGTATTGGGTGGAAATACAGCAGTGCTGAATTCTGCATAGAGTAGAGGGTGGAACTATAGCCAGGCTGAATTCTGCATTGAGTAGTGGGTGGAAATACAGCAGGGCTGAATTCTGCATTGAGTGGTGGGTGGAAATACAGCAGTGCTGAATTCTGCATAGAGTAGAGGGTGGAACTATAGCTGGGCTGAATTCTGCATTGAGTGGTGGGTGGAGCTATAGCCAGGCTGAATTCTGCATTGAGTAGTGGGTGGAAATACAGCAGTGCTGAATTCTGCATAGAGTAGAGGGTGGAACTATAGCCGGGCTGAATTCTGCATTGAGTGGTGGGTGGAAATACAGCAGTGCTGAATTCTGCATTGAGTAGAGGGTGGAACTATAGCAGGGCTGAATTCTGCATTGAGTGGTGGGTGGAAATACAGTAGGGCTGAATTCTGCTTTGAGTGGTGGGTGGAAATACAGCAGTGCTGAATTCTGCATTGAGTAGAGGGTGGAACTATAGCCGGGCTGAATTCTGCATTGAGTGGTGGGTGGAACTATAGCAGGGCTGAATTCTGCATTGAGTGGTGGGTGGAACTACAGTAGGGCTGAATTCTGCATTGAGTGGAGGGTGGAACTATAGCCAGGCTGAATTCTGCATTGAGTGGAGGGTGGAACTATAGCAGGGCTGAATTCTGCATTGAGTGGATGGTGGAACTATAGCCAGGCTGAATTCTGCATTGAGTGGAGGGTGGAACTATAGCCGGGCTGAATTCTGCATTGAGTGGTGGGTGGAACTACAGTAGGGCTGAATTCTGCATTGAGTAGAGGGTGGAACTACAGTAGGGCTGAATTCTGCATTGAGTGGTGGGTGGAACTATAGCCGGGCTGAATTCTGCATTGAGTGGATGGTGGAACTATAGCCAGGCTGAATTCTGCATTGAGTAGAGGGTGGAACTATAGCAGGGCTGAATTCTGCATTGAGTGGTGGGTGGAACTATAGCCAGGCTGAATTCTGCATTGAGTGGAGGGTGGAACTATAGCCAGGCTGAATTCTGCATTGAGAGGTGTGTGGAACTACAGTAGGGCTGAATTCTGCATTGAGTAGAGGGTGGAACTAAAGCCAGGCTGAATTCTGCATTGAGTAGAGTGTGGAACTATAGCCGGGTTGAATTCTGCATTGAGTGGTAGGTGGAACTATAGCCAGGCTGAATTCTGCATTGAGTAGAGGGTGTAACTATAGCCGGGCTGAATTCCGCATTGAATGGTGGGTGGAAATACAGTAGGGCTGAATTCTGCATTGAGTAGAGGGTGGAACTATAGCAGGGCTAAATTCTGCATTGAATGGTGGGTGGAAATACAGTAGGGCTGAATTCTGCATTGAGTGGTGGGTGGAACTATAGCCGGGCTGAATTCTGCATTGAGTAGAGGGTGGAACTATAGCAGGGCTAATTTCTGCATTGAATGGTGGGTGGAAATACAGTAGGGCTGAATTCTGCTTTGAATGGTGGGTGGAAATACAGTTGGGCTGAATTCTGCATTGAGTAGAGGGTGGAACTATAGCAGGGCTAAATTCTGCATTGAATGGTGGGTGGAAATACAGTAGGGCTGAATTCTGCATTGAGTTGTCAAACTCATGTTTAAAGCTGACGTTCTGATTGGTTGTTGATTTCAAGGTCTTGACCAAGAGAAATTCCGAGGTAATTTAGCGATGAAAGCGAAGATGCCTGTGATGTCACTTCTGAAAATATACATGATGGAGATACAACGCCTCGAATAATCAAGCACACAACAGATAATGAAAGTTACCCAACCTCCAGATCTAGGATCACACTCTACACAAGGTCAAACATTTTCATTAAATTGTGGTCTGCATATGGTGATGGACAGACTACCTTGCTGTCAGTTAATTTGCAATCTGATGTACATAAACTGATTAGATTGATTTCCAGATTTCAAAAGAGTGGGTGTGTGTCACTGAGACAATGAAATCCCAGAGCTTATAGTGACGGCAGTAATATGATGACAGTTGTTCCCACACAGTGATTACAGGCAGGGTGGTGGTGGTGGTGGAATGGGGTTTAATGTCGTGCTTGAGAATATTTCGCTCATATGACGACGTGCATGCGTATGTATGTGTATGTGCGGCTGCTTGTACTAGCCCAGAATGAAGCTGGTTTTATAGTGCTAGCCCACTGAGATACCATGCCGCGGTGAAGCATGAATACCCCACTCAGACACATTATACTGACTCCGAGCCGACCAGTCCTTGTTGTACCCATTAATGCCGAGAGCCAGGCAGGGACCAACAAGTACCATATTTTAACGTCTTTTGGTATGACGCAGTCAGGGATCGAACCCGTGACCTTCCGCACTCGGGGCAGATGCTCTAACCACTACACCACGGAGGCAGTCTTACAGGCAGGGACAGTACTGGGATGGTGTACTTGCTCAGTGGCAGCCCAGATATATCATGGACAAATGGGGACGGATGTATACACTCTAGGGGCTGAGGGTGGTTTTCAGTGATATAATTATAATCAATACAATGTTTAATGGTATACAAGATATTCTGTAAATGAAGTAAAACATATATTAAATGAAAATTTCGTGATAAAAGGTTTTCCTGATTGCAATATTTAACAAATTATTAAAATACATATATACAAACATTTGCTTTTCACAACATGAACACTAATTCCACTTCAGCTTGGCTATGTAATGGCTCATATAAGCTGTAACTTGTATTGCACCACCAGTGTGACTGGTCAAAAATACAGGCTAGACAATCACCTGAGAAAACATGCAAACATATGGTATACAAATAGAGGGGTAAATTGATACATTCAATATGGCTACCCTACATGAATCTGCATTTTCAGAGTCATAAAGGCACAAAGTAAATCTAATTACACATTAATAAACATGCATAAACAACTGTGTCATAAGTGAACCATGTCATAAGTCATGCACATCATAGACTTTTACTTGAAAAATAATCAAGGAGAACAGGGATACGAAATCATGAACACAGAACATTGTGGCACCTTAAACAATCGCTCAGATGGGCCCCTGACTTCAGTCCTTATGTCTGGTGAGGGTAGTGGGGAAGCCTAGTGGTTTAAGTGTATGCTCGTCATGCCGAAGATATGGGTTCGATTCCCCACAGGGGTACAATGTGTGAAGCCCATTTCTGGTGTCCATTGCCGTGATATTGCTGGAATATTGCTAAAAGTGGTGTAAAAACTAAACTCACTCACTCACCCTTATGCCTGTTAATTTTTTATGTCAATTAGTTTTCAATATGTGTGAGAAACATTGTTTCAGCTTGAAATATTTTAGCATTGTTTCATTTAAATACAAAATGTCATAAAACATAACACTGACAGAGAACAAATCACAAGCTTAGCTCAACTGATTAAATATTAAGGTATGTATCTAAACCAAGCTTCACAATCTAGTGGTTAAAGCTGTTGTTCGTCGTCCCAAGATCCGGCGATTTCAACAATGTGTTGCTCATCAAATATTAAGGAATATGTATCTAAACCAAGCAGTCACACTCTATTACTTTTACAGTATACTCAATGCCTTTGAGCCTATTTTTATTCATTATTTGAACAACTCAATTTCTTTTCCATTTTATTTCAATAATTTTCTGGATAATGGCTGAAAATTTAATAACTTTTATGGTATTTACAAAATATTTTCACTTATTATACAGTTTTACTTGAGATATTGTTATCAGATCCCAAACATTTCATCCTAAAAATAAACAATTAGAGACCCACCTCCATCTTTGTCCCAGTAACATTTCATTAAGGGCATAGTTGTCATTTGAAGAATTTAGTCATTTGATATTGTTAGCTGCTTTCTCTCAATCAGATTTAATAAAGGAGTATGAGGGAGACCATTTATTGGCATTTTCAAATTATGTAAGTTGAGAGGGACTCTCAGTTATGAAGGTATTAATACTGAAACTTTTTAATCAGTGC